TGCTCCTAACCGCTGAGCCACCTCAAGTTAAAAACAAACAAATAAAAGTCTAAACCACTAAGAGCCCTGGTGTAATGACATCCTAGGACCTCCTGTAACCCAGCACTGAAGGATGGAAGCAGGAATAGATCAGGAGCTCAAGGTCATCCTCAACTACATAGAGGATTCAGGGCCAGCCTAGACTACATGAACCTCATTGTATCCAAAAATCCACCCTAGAGGATCAGGGCAGAGTATAGAGTCAGAAATACTGCAGTTGGGATGTAGGTCATTTTGGCTGGGAGGTTGCCCCGGGTTGGCCGTCAGCATTTGGAAGCTGGTGTTCTGGGTGCTGTGCCAAACAGGGGCTCCCCAGAGCCACTGGGCACTGCACAGATATGATCTACTTCACGTGTACACACGGCTGCGGGCTGACTCCCTAGGCTGTGGACCTCGTCTGTGCCTCATTTATTTTGCTTAGGTTTCCTATTTCTGCACAGTTGCTGGGAAATTACACCCTGTCTTTTTTTAAATTATGGGTGAATTTTAGTTTGGATATACAATTTAGGGGCCAGGGAGATGGCCCAGTGGGTGAAGGCACTTGCATCAAGCCTGATGACCTGAGTTCAGTCCCTGGGGCCCACATGGTGGAAGGAGAGAACCAATTTCTACAGGTTGTCCTCTGACTTCCACACATGTGCCTTGGCGTGTGCAAACCCACATGCTTACCCATATACTGAAATAAGTAACTGCAGTGATTGAAAAAATAAAAACCTTTATTGAGCCATGCTAGCCTTGTCTGACCTGGAGCTTCACACAGTAGGACTCACACAGTAGGACTGTGTGCTTTTTTGTTTTGTTTTGTTTTTTGTTTGTTTTTCCAGACAGGGTTTCTCTGTGGCTTTGGAGGCTGTCCTGGAACTCACTTTGTAGACCAGGCTGGCCTCGAACTCACAGAGATCCGCCCACCTCTGCCTCCCGAGTGCTGGGATTAAAGGCGTGCGCCACCAACGCCCGGCTAGGACTGTGTGCTTTGCTTTCTGCCTTCTCGGCCTCTTGTAGTACTAAATTGCATCCTTCTTTTTCCTTTTCTTTTTGAGACAGGCTTTTTTGTAGCCCAGGCTGGCTTTGAACTCACTATGTAGCTGAGGATGACCTTGAACTCCTGATCCTCCTGTCTCTGCTTCTGGAGTCCTGGGGTGACAGGTGTGGGTCACTGTGCCTGCTTTGTTCAGTGCTAGGAATGGAACTGATTTAACCCATCAGATCACACCCGGAGTCATGAGCACCCGTGGGGCTTGCCCTATGTTGCCGGAGGTAGGTTGGTAATCTCCCAGGGGCTCTCCAGATGTTTCCTAGCGCCTCGTTTCACAAACACCCCTGCCATGGGTGGACACGGAGCCCGGCACGCTCCCACAGCTGGCCAGCCTTTGCTGGAACTCCTTCCCGGGGCCTTTTCCTGGCACAGCCTGTTTTGTCTTTGTTTTGTTCTCTTGCTATTGTGAGACGGATGATTGCTGTGCAGCAGCCAGGCTGGCCTCAGCAAGGTTGCCAACCTTCTGCCTTAGCTGCCTGAATGCCGAGGTAACAATCGTGCATCCCAGCACTCAGCTAGATCCTTTTAATTTCAGTTTTTCCCGTTTCGTCCATCTTGTTACGGTGACAGGGACTGAACCTAGGGTCTTGCACCTGCTAGGCAAGCTCCCTTCCTACACCTTTAGCCCTTGTCTGCCTTTTCTTTTAAGTATAGTATCGTTTATTTATTCTTAGGGAATTAAAACATTCATACAGTGTATTTAAATGGTATATACTTGCTACTCTTCTACAGGCCCTTCTTAACTTTATATCTGTATATGCTTTTTTTGTCCTTTGAAGACAGGGTCTCACTATGTAGCTCTGGCTGTCCTCAGACTCAAAGAGATCCTCCTGCTTCTGTCTTCTGAGCGCTGAGAGCAAAGGCATGCACCACCACAACCAGCCTTCCCCCTTCCTCCTCCTCCTCCTCCTCTTCCTCCTCTTCCTCCTCCTCCTCCTCCTCCTCCTCCTCTTCCTCCTCCTCCTCTTCTTCTTCTTCTGTTTTTAGAGACAGGGTTTATCTGTGTAACGCTGGCTGTCCTGGAATTCTGTAGATCAGTCTGGCCTCGAACTCACAGAGACACGCCTGCCTCTGTTTCCCAAGTGCTGGGATTAAAGAGATTAAAGGTGTGCACCACCACAGCCAGCATCCATCCATCCATCCATCCTTCCTTCCCCCACCGAATCCAATTACTGTGACCAGTATACACGTAGATGCGGGGGGGGGGGGGCTGCAGTTTTACACTCTGTCCATTTAATAGCACAGTAAGCAGTACATTCACCCCCTGGAGCCTGTGAGCTCTCAGTCATTGGTTCTTGGCCAGATTTATAGTATCAGACATGTTTTTCACCCTGTAGAGCAGGCCTTAAATCCAGTCGGAAAGTGGTTGGTTACCCCCATAATATTCACGCCACTAATGCATCCTCGGGCATATCTTACCAGACTGGTTATCATGGTAGCTTGCAGGGGTCACAGCTGGGTGAGACGGCTGGTGGATTTTTCTACCCCAGCAGCCTGCATAGCACCTTCCTGCACTGTGAAATCTGAACAGCTCCCAGATCAGTACCAATGTGATTTCTCTAAGTTCTGTGGCCAGTGTGTGTGTGGTAGCCTCAGCAGTAGTCTTACCTACCAGCAAGTTCTGGTGGGCAACCAAGAGCTGTGGTAACAGCCTGTATTGTTTTGATCCCCTTGACCAAGAACTTGAGGGGCTACTGGGCAGTGGGGCACTTACGGGATGGAGGCAGGTGTTCAATACCCAGCCCACTCTACTCTCCTGGAAGCCTTCCTGCCTGCTGGGCTGTACCCAGGGGATACCCAGAGGCAGCACTGTCCTTAGGGACTCATCCTGGCTCTTTGTCCTAGGGCTATGATCTTTGGCCTTGGGAAGGGGGATGGACAGACTGGCAATCAAGTGAGTTCGGCCTTGAGTTTCACGACTGTTATCTAGTCAGCTGGTCTAGTGTCTCCAGTTTCTTTGACTGGAAAAACAAAACAAAAAAGTGATTCTATAGTCACAGTGGGCCAGAATCCACCTACTTGAGTGAGTGTGGGGACAGAGTGGGGAGGGTCACTTTTCACTAGGCGACAGTGTGATGCCCGGGGCCTGCCTGATCTAGTCACTGCTCCTTGTCAACTCCCATTTAAACTTCCTAGTGGCCCCTGGGGTGGACTCTGTGCTTGGTCCCTGGCATATGTCACCAGGGTAAAGTGACTATGACAGTCGCTGCCTCAAAGGGCTATGGTGCTGGCCAGGAATGGGAAGTACAGTATAGAGGGCCAGGCCTGGCATGGGGCACCCAGGGACACTCTGGCTGCCGCTGTCAGGGCCCTGAAATGCCTCTCTATTTGTGCCAGATATTCAGGCTGTAGTTAAGTGGCGGCCACAGCTGTAGGAAGGTGTGCCGGAGCCTCTCCTAGTTGGGGATTCATACTCAGAAGACGATTTACGTTCTTGAGTCCCATGGAGAACAGGCTAGACCCAGTGTGGCTTCAGTGACAGGGCCTTGTAGTATTCAAGAACAAACCCAGGCCCAGAGAGATAAGCTTGGCCTGGGAGAGTGTTGACCCAGTGTCTGCCTGCCTTGGAGTCCACCCCTGACGTGCCAGCTCTGGGGCCTCCACCTGTTGTTTCTGGCTGTTTGGAGACAGGGGGTGGCTGTCCTTGTCCTGGAAGGCCTAGTTTAAAGACAGTGGGAGGTGATGTAAACTCCCGGAGACCTGGCTTTTGGACATTGCTGTCTCTGATGAGCTGGGGGTGGGGCTCAACTCTATGGAAAGCAGTGGTCAGAGGTCAGGGAATGGCCCGCCTCTTCCTTCTAGCCTTTGGGAAAATTGGTGGTTTTGTTTTGAGACAGAGTCTCATTCATCATGTATCCCAGGCTGACCTCAAAGTTACCGTCTTCCTGCTTCAGCATCCCAAGTGCTGGGATGACAGCCCTGAACCACCATGTCTGCTCTGTATAGCTGGAGACTGAATCCACGGCTGCCTGCGTGCTATGCAAGCCCTGAGCCCTGGCCCTGCCTGGTGTTTTTCTGGCCCTCGGAGCTGGTGACTGTCAAGAAGCCAGTCCTCTTCCCTGTCCTTGCTCTCTCTACCCGGCACGTGGCACTGGCTTCCTCCCGCCCGATGCACAGAGGCCATGTTTCCCTGATTGAGTTAAAGCCCCACAAGGCTGGAGACACACAGTCTGTTTCATTTCCACGGCTGTCTGCCACTCCTGGAACCTGACCTGTCAAGAGTAGCTGCTCACAACATGCTTGATGAATGAATGAGGGGACGAATGAAGGAATTAATGAGTGAATAAAGGAACAAACGGATTAGCAAAGGAACAAATCAAAGCGAATCAAGAATGGAAATGATGAATGAAAGCCTTTAGCTGGGGGCTTGCTTACCGTTCCAGAGGCCTAGTTCATTATCATGGCGGGGAGCATGGCAGCGAGTCACGTGGGCACTGTGTTGGAGGAGTAGCTGAGATCTCACATCCTGATCCACAGGCAGAGAGAGAACTATTTGCTGTTTGTTTTATTTTATTTTATTTTTGAGACGGTTTCTTTGTATAACCTTGGCTGTCCTGGAACTCACTCTGTAGACCAGGCTGGCCTCGAACTAAGAGAGATCCCCCTGCCTCTGCCTCCCGAGCACTGAGATTAAAGAGGGATACTTCCACCACCCTGCTTTGGAGTGGGCTTTTGAAACCTCAAAGCCCATCCCCAGCAGCACACCTCCTCCAGCAAGGCCACGCCTTCTAATCCTTCCAAACGGTTCACCAGCTAGGGTCTAAGAATGCAACTCTAGAAGCCCATGGGGGCCATTCCCATTCAGGTCACCACAGCCACCTTGTCTGCCTTTTGGGGCGCCCTTGGCACAGGCCAGTCTCAGGCAGCCATTGTGAGCCTAGGTGGGGAAGCCCTCCTCATGCTCCTCCCTGTGTCTCTCCTACAGAATGTCCGCATAGACCCCAGCAGCCTGTCCTTTGGGATGTGGAAGGAGATTCCGGTCCCCTTCTACCTATCCGTCTACTTCTTCGAGGTGGTCAACCCCAACGAGGTCCTAAAGGGTGAGAAGCCAATAGTGCGGGAGCGTGGACCCTATGTCTACAGGTGAGACCAGGCCTGGGGAGGGGGGGCTGTGGTGGTGGGGGTCTGCTGTGCTGAGCCTTGGACATTGCTCCAGCAGTGGACCAGGAACAGAAGTGGGGAGGCCATAATGGCTGACCATTTCTTTAAGGAGTGATGTTTTGGGCCTGGGGTGAGCGCTAACATGAGTGTGTGTGTGTGTGTGTGTGTGTGTGTGTGTGTGTGTGTGTGTACGCGAGCGTGCGTGTGTATTCATGGGGGGGGCACAGGACATGAAAGGGGCAAAATGACTGCTATTGAGTCAGGAAAGTTAGACAATGGTGCAGAAGTGAAACCAGTTAACATGGCCCCAGAGAAGTGGGCCGCAAGGAAGCAGGGGACAGAGAGCATGGAGGGTGCTTGTGTCTTAGTTGACTCAACCTGTGTAGCTAGCTCTGCGTGGGCCTGTGTGAGGAGGCTTGCGACTTCAAGATGGAGGGGGACATGTGACCCTGGAACCGTGGCACTGGGAAGCGGTGAGGAAGCCAGCTTGCGGTGGGGGTTCCCTGGGGCTGAGAACTGCAGGACCTGGGGATTGCCTGCTAGCGGGTGCAGCCACATGCTGAGGTGGGAGTATTATTGTTTCACCCTACAGATGCAGAACTGGGGTCCCAGCGGTAGGGACTCATTCAGTGGCGCGTGTCCCAGTCCTGGGCTCTTGTGGTTGAAACTATGGACTATGAGAGAGGCTGCTTGGTCCTCCAGTCTTAGGACGAGTTTTGCTTCCATAGGCCTGTTTTGCCATCTGTGAGATGGAGATAATAGTACCCACTGTGGGTGCATTCAAGGACCAGATGAGATGGTTAGTTTGAGCCTCTTAGTTTTAGCATCTGGCCTGCAATAAGCTCTCAGTAAATGCTGACTGTGTGGATATCCGCTTGGTGCTGGGTGCTGATTACCGAGTGGAAGGGAGATGTGGGGACTTGGGGTGCTTTCCATAGGAGCTCAGAGAGCATGGAGGTAGGTGAGGGAGAGCAGAGAAGGGCTGGTTGGTGGCGGCAGTGTCTTGCCATGGGCAGACGCTGGGGTATATAATAGACAAGAGGATGCAAGCTTGGACTTGGTGCTGTTGGGTATCAGTGCAGTAACACTCTGGGGTCCCTGGCTCCCAGGGTGTGCTGGGACCTGGTGGGAGCATCCATGTGGCCTTACACACCCAGCTGACCCAATGTGCCTCCACAGGGAATTCAGACATAAGGCCAACATCACCTTCAATGACAATGATACTGTATCCTTCGTGGAGCACCGCAGCCTCCATTTCCAGCCTGACCGGTCCCACGGCTCTGAGAGTGACTACATTGTACTGCCTAACATTCTGGTCTTGGTGAGGCTGTGGCCCTGTGTCTATTCCACTTTCTCCCCCACTGTCTCCATAGTGACCACCCCATCCTTCTCACCGTCTTACTTCCCACCTGAGACTCCGGGGCCTCCACTGGGGTCCCTGATGAAGCCTGAATGTCAGCGCCACAGGGGACCAGTGTGACAGGGTCACGTGACCTGGGCGGGTGGGGTCAGGAAGAGTAGCCATTTATTGAGCACACTGTGTTGGGAGTTGCTGGGTCAGTGCCTTGGTGCATGCTGGGACCCACTCAACTCAGAGCAAGAGTGAGGGCAGGACATTTGAAGAGTTTCTTTCCAGCCAGGTCCCGCAGCCCTTTAGTCCCAAATAAATACACAGAGGCTTATAGGAATTATAAACTGTTTGGCCGATGGCTTAGGCTTCTTACTGGCTAGCTCTCTCTTAATTACTAACCCATAACTATTGATCTGTGTATTTCCACATGGCCTCCTACCTTCCCAGCAGTTTCTCTGGTGACGGCTTCTATGCCTCCCTCTCATTAGCATTCTCATAGTCTGGTAGCCCTGCCTATACCTCCTGCCTGGCTACTGGCCAATCAGCATTTATTCATCAACCGATATATTCACAGCATACAGAAGGACGTCCCCCATCAGACATTTACACAGAGGGGCCAGGAGGACCCTCCCCAAGGACAAAGTCTCAGTCACCAAATGGGACAGCCTCACCAGGCCAGGGTCAGACCCCATGGTCTGACTTTCACGCCTTTTGGAAGATTCTTTTTTAACACTTAATGAAGGCAACACAATTAGGTGATGTCTGGCTGCCTGCCAACCCCAGGTCCATTGTCAGAAATGCCCCCCCAAGGACCGATGGAGCTGGAGGGAGAATTTTTGCTTTTAATCTTTATTTATTTATCTATTTACTTATTATCATTTTTTCCCATTATCATCGTTTTGAGACAGAGTCTCACTTATGCAGCCCTGGCCGTCCCAAAATTATGTAGACTAGGCTGGCTTTGAACTCGCAGAGATCCGCCTGCCTCTGCCTCAAGGGCTGGGATTAAAGGCGTACACCACCACGTCTGTCACACGGCTCCTTTTTAAGTATTAAGAAACAGCAACAGTCTGTGCTGGGTCCCAGCTCTGCAGAGTGTTTCCTGGTGGTTCATTGGCTCCTGCCAGGCCTCAGGTGTGGCTCTGCAGTCACAGTGGCAGAGTAGGACCTCCGAATGCCCGGCCTGAGCCTTGTGACTGCCTCGGAAGTTCACGTAGTCGGAACCCCTTGGGCATCGTTGCCCTGGCAACAACAAGGACCAGGAGGGAAGGGTCCACATTGAGGGTGTCCCACCGTGTCCACCCCCCTAGCTCCATGCCCTCGGCTTTGCAGGGGGGCGCGGTGATGATGGAGGACAAGTCTGCAGGCCTGAAGCTGATGATGACCTTGGGGCTGGCCACCATGGGCCAGCGTGCCTTTATGAACCGCACGGTTGGCGAGATCCTGTGGGGCTATGAGGATCCCTTCGTGAATTTTATCAACAAGTACTTCCCAGACATGTTCCCCATCAAGGGCAAGTTCGGCCTGTTTGTTGAGGTAAGCATCTTGCGTCCTCACAGACTGTTCGTGAAAGCCAGGCGAAGACCCAACAAATCGTCTTGAGCAAAATCGGTAAATTAGCAGCTCGTGAAACAGAGCACCAGTGTTGCACTTGGGTGTGGACTGATCCAGTTCAAGGGATGTGACTGGGGTTCAGCTTAGAAAATTGGAGGCTTTGCTGCAGGAGGAGGAGGAGGAGAACTGGGTTCTCGAGACACATGTCCCATCAGTGTTGCTCAGAGGTGCCCACTTAGTCTTGACCTTCGGTAACCTGAGGTAGGATCTGACCCCTGACCTCACCTCCCTGCTCCGGCTCAGCTTTCTCCAAGGGGTCTGCTGATGGGGTGCGTTTGTAGTGAGGGTCAGTGGCATGACCCAGTCACCCATATCTCCGGGACCTGCTATTACTGGGCATAGTTGAAATTCACTGCTCAGTGGTTAAAAGCACTGACTGCTCTTCAGGAGGACCCAAGTTCAATTCCCAGCACCCGCATGGTGGCTCCCAACCATCTGTAGCTCCAATTCCAGGGGATCTGATGCCCTCTTCTGGCTTTCTTAGGCGCTGCGTGTGCGTGGTGCATAGACATAACATGCAGCCATAGAGACTCATACACATACAATAGAAATACATATAGTCTTGTGGAGAGCAGGCTATAGGAAATCACCACGTCTCCCAGGTGAGGATCCTGTGGGGTGAACATGTAACAAGATGGGCAGCAGTTGAATGCCCAGTGTCAGAGCTTTTACAGTCAGGAGCCCTGGGCAGAGCCCTGTTTCTGTACCTGCCCTTCCCAGTACCCCCTGTACAGACCCCCATCCTTCTCTCTTCCTCACAGCTGAGGTTGGGGTTCCTGGGGGGGGCTCCTGTGGGGATAGGCCAGGAGACAGGAGCAGAACACATTCCACCAAGTCCTGCTCCCCCAGCCGTTCTGCTTAGCCTCTCTGGGATTGACAGAGCTATCGCTTCTGTGACCCCTGGTCTATTCTACCATTGCTGGCCCTTCCATTGAGCTTCTAGACCCTTCCATGCACCCTGGGGAATTTGTATTGAATGCTTTCTTTATTTTTTTCTTTTCTGTTTGGTCTGTTTGTTTTGAGGCAGGGTCTCTATGTAGCTCTGTCTGTCCTGGAACTTACTATGTAGACCAGGCTGGCTTCGAACTCAGAGATCCATCTGCCTCTGCCACTTGAGTGCTGGGATTAAAGGTGTGTGCCACCATTCCCCACTTAAGTGCCTTTTTCTTTCTTAATTAGCTGTTGGGCCTGATGGAGTAGCCTTGCCATCTCTGTGCATGGGAGTATGAGGCAGGAGGATGACAAGTTCAAAACCAGTCTGGACAACTTAGTGAGACCCTGGGTCTGTCCCCATCACTGAGTCAGTGCAGCGGTGAGGGGACCCTTTCACAGCTGAAGAACAGGCAGGCTTTTGCCTGTGTCCAGGTCTTGTGCCCCCAACTCAGGGCTAACGGCACTTGTCCCTGCCTCTTTGCAGATGAACAACTCGGACTCTGGGCTCTTCACTGTGTTCACAGGCGTCCAGAACTTCAGCAAGATCCACCTGGTGGACAGATGGAACGGACTCAGCAAGGTGAGCAGGAGGGGAGACAGTCCCCATCCCCTGAAGCACGGACTGGATTGGGGACAAGCCTTGGGGGACAGCAAATGCTCTGGAGAGGGTGTCAGGGTCAGCCGAGGACTTCAAAGGTCTAGGAACTGTCCCTTGATAGCTTCTGCTGGGAACTCTTTACTCTTCTGTCCCTGCGTTTCCATTAACAAGGCAGACAGGAAGACATTCCCATAAAGATAAGACAATGGGGGCCCAGCACCTTGCTAGACCCACCCGGAAACCCCCAGCGCTGCTTGTGGGACCCGGTTTCCTGGCCATTTACCCACCGCCACGCCTCTGTGTATCCAGAGAAATGTGTTTTCCTTCCTTCTTTGAATACACAGAAATCCTGTTGTGTGCTGTTTTGCAGCTGGCTCTTCTCCTGAGGACATCTTTGCATATATTGTGTTTTTGTGCTGTTGTGTTTGTCAATTACTGAAGATGGAGCCCAGGCCCTGTGCATTCTTTACAGAGGCTCTGCCACTGAGTCATGCCCCCAGCCCCTCACTAGGGGATTCTAGGTGGGGGCTCTACCACTGAGCCACACCCACAGCCCCTCACTGGGGTGGAAGTGCTACCTCTGAACCATGCTCCCACCCCTCACTGGGGAACCCTAGGTAGGCAAGCTTTACCTGCTGAGCCATCTCGGTGTCCCTGTCCTTTTTCTTTTCCTTCCTTCCTTCCCTCCTCCTCCTTTCTCTTCTTTATTATTATTATTATTATTATTAGTTTTAGGTTTTTTTTTTTTGATTTTACGAGACAGGGTTTCTCTGTATTGTCTTGGAGGCTGTCAGTCCAGCCCGGCCTCGAACTCACAAAGATCCGCCTGCCTCTGCCTCCCGAGTGCTGGGATAAAAGGCGTGCGCCACCACCGCCCGGCTATTTTTAGTTTTATGAGACAGGGTTTGTCTGTGTAGCCCTGGCTTGCCCTGGAACTCACTCTGTAGACCAGGCTGGCCTGAGACTCACAAGAGATCCATTCACCTGCCTCTGGCTCCCAAGTGCTAGAATTTAGGGCACATACCACCATAGCTGGCTCGAGTGTTGGTTCTGAGTTCTTATCTCCCCAACTAGAGGTAGGCACTCTGATGGATTCCATTTCCAGGTCTTTGGTTGCTCCTGTTGTTACCTTAATAGCTCCCCTGGCATTTCCCAGCTTTCCTTGTTTGCAGGGTGTGTATGTTGACTTGGGGAGGGAGTAGGAAGATGTGGGCAATGGGCCCATTGTATGGATGGCTTAACTGAGTCCCCCAACAATGCTGTGTGTTCAGGCCTGCTGTGGGGAGCAGGACTGGGCTGGATGCTCTGTCTACACAGCCTGCTCTGTGCCAGATTGGGTATGATGATATCTGCACAGGGGCATGTGTTGGGTGCAAGCCTTGGCTGTCCCTCAAGGCTGAATCTTGTCCTGTCCTCCCACAGATCAACTATTGGCATTCGGAGCAGTGCAACATGATCAACGGGACTTCTGGGCAGATGTGGGCACCATTCATGACACCCCAGTACTCGCTGGAATTCTTCAGTCCAGAGGCCTGCAGGTAAAGCTTGCATGGGCACGCTCTGCAGGTGAATCTGCTTCTGAGATGATTTAGGGTTCACTCAGGTAGCTCCTGGGGTGTGATCTCAAAATGCCTGGTCCTCTGTGTACTATGGCTCAGTTATTTCTTGCCACTGTGACAAAATACCTGACAGATATGACTTGCGGGTGGGGGGATTTATTTTTTTGTTTGTTTGGTTTGGTTTGGTTTTGGTTTTTCAAGACAGGGTTTCTCTGTATTGCTTTGGAGCCTGTCCTGGAACTAGCTCTGTAGGCCAGGTTGACTTCGAACTCACCGAGATCCACCTGCCTCTGCCTCCCAACCGGCCGGGGAGTAGAGGGTGGGGGTAGATTTATTTTGGATTTCTGTTACATGAGGATTTGCACCTTGAAAGTTCATCAACCTCCCAAACAGCGCCCCCCGCTGGCGTCTAAGAGTGCAAAGCATGTAGCCTAACCACCTTGACTTTTCATGGGTGCCACAGCTTAGGCAGAGCCCAGAGAGGCTGTGAGCGGGTGGTTGCTGGGGACTGTCGTGACGGTGATGGCAGGAAAAGGTCAGGGTCTCAGGTGAGCTGTGACGTGGAGCTGGAGGGCTGGGGTCTCTGGGGCCTTGACTGCGAGGTGAAGATCCCTCTCAGTCACTCTCCAACTCCCCTGCCTCAGAGGTGTGCTGAGGCCTTGTAGCTTGGGCTTCACCATCCCAGGGTCCCGACTGTTGCCTGGGAAGACCTGGTGTGTCTGAGCCCATTCCCAAGTGGTGCCCTAGCCCAGCGGGTGTTCCATTCTAGCCACGCTGGAGGTGGCCTTGGCCTGGTAACACACGGGGCTGACCTTTAGACCCCTCTGCCTCTCTAGCTAACACAGACGGCTATGCTCCGTGCCAGGTGTGAGCACAGCCCAGCCATGATGGGGCGAGCAAAGTCTGTGCCTTGGTGCCTGCTTCCCATGGGGAACTTTCAAAGCAAGAACTTTGTTACTTTTTAAAAAGTGTTACCTTTTTTCAATTATGTGTATCTGTGTGGGTTATGTGTGCATGTGTGCAGCTGCTTGTGGAGGCCAGAAGAGGGCGTTGGATCACCTGGAGCTTGTGTGTGTGTGTGTGTGTGTGTGTGTGTGTGTGTGTGTATGGTTAATAATAGAACCGAGAGCCTCACATACACTAAGTGGTCTGCCTCTGAATCATGCCCCAGCCCCCTAAGTTCAGACTTAGAGAAATCATCTTTGGCCGACTGAGATGGCTCAGTCAGTAAGTGTTCACCATTAACAAGAGGACTTGAGTTCAGTCCCCAGAACTCAGTAGCAGTGTGAGCCTGGAAACCTAGCACGGCGAGGCAGAGGCAGGAGAGAGCTAGAAAGCCATCCGGCCTGGCAGAATGAATGAGCTCCAGGCTCATGGAGAGACCTGTCTCAGAAATAAGCTGGAGAGATGGCTCAGCAGTTAAGAGCACTGGCTGCTCTTCCAGAGGTCCTGAGTTCAATTCCCAGCAACCACATGGTGATTCACAACCATCTGTAATGAGATCTGGTGCCTTTTTCTGGTGTTCAGGCATGCATGCATGCAGAACAATGTATACACAATAAATAAATTAAAAAAAAAATAAGGTGATTGGAAAAGAAATCCAGTGTTGGCTTCTGACCTACAACACACAGGCGTACACACATACACACACACACACACACACACACACACACACACGTGCGCGTGCACGGGCACACACACAAGCACAACCATAGACATACAAATACCCGTATCCTCGACACAAAGAGGAATGAAAAGTGAGTTTCCCTCTCAGGTTTTGAGCTTTCCTTACAGGGACAAGCTGTGGCTTTTGAGCATTGTGGCAGGCTGTGTTGTGTGGTGGGAGGCCTGGGGTGTGGTTCAGGGTGCAGCACTTGCTTGGTTTACACAAGGCCCTGGGTGCAGCCAGGCTAGTGTTTCTGATAAGCCCGTGACTGAGCAAGATGTTCAGCTCAGGGCTGGGAAGCAAACACGAAACTAAGGAAGAGCCTGGGATCCCACAGCCCCTTTCAAGGCCACCCTAAATGACCCAAAGTTCTACCATTAGATCCCACTTTGTTTTCAAGACAGGGTCTCTCTGTGTAGCCTTGGCTATCCTGGAACTAGCCTGTAGACCAGCCCGGCCTCGAGCTCACAGAGATCCGCCTGCCTCTGCCTCCCAACTGCTGGGATTAAAGGCATGCGCCCCCGCTACTAGTCATAGATCCCACTTTTTAAAGATTTCCCGGATCCAGTAGCACCCCTGCCCCCCCCACACCGAGACCAGCCCTTGACCTCAGGGCTCTTGGGAGACACTCATCCACATCCCAGCCAGTTGTTCTCTGTGTTTCGATTTTGCGCATCCCTGGAACCATTGCTCTACACCCTCCTGTTTGCCCTCGTCTGGAATCCTGTGAGAGTGGGATGCAGGCCAGGTGTCCCTCTCCATCAACCCTTCAGGGGTGTTCCCCAAAAACAAAGGCATTTGCTTACACAGTCACGAGGGTCAAAACCAGGGAATTTAACATTGGCTTGATAAGATCCTCTGAGCCCGGTGCTGCCGCATAAATTAGAAAACAACCCATGCTTCAGATTATGGCCCATCCTTGCGGGTGGGGGTGAGGACTGAAGCAGGAACTCCAAGCAGCTAGTCAGTTTACTTACAAAAGCAAAGAGTCATACTGAGTACGCTCATGCCTAGGACTCAGATAGCTGGCTCCACTCTTATATAGGCTATGACCCAAACCTAGGGAGTGGTGCCGCCCGCTGTGGGCTGGATCTTAAGCGAATCAGGACAGTTTCACAGACCAGCCCAATCTAGCAGTCTCCCATTGAGAGTCTCCTTGCAGGAGATCCTAGATATGTCAAATTGACAAGATTTACCATCACATTGTATGAAAATAATGTTTTATTTGACTAAAATATGCATTTGTTAGATACATTTTACTTATCTGAAATATTATTCTAAACATTGTTGAAAAGATCTTTTATTTAGAATCAGGTCTGAGAAATCTGGGTGTCAGCTGGGCAGTGCCTTTAATCCCAGCACACAAGTGAATCCCTGTGATGTTGAGGCCGGCCTGTTCTACATAGCCAGTTCCAGGCTAGCCAGGGCTATGTAGGGAGACTACAGGGCTTCATAAAGAAAGACAGAAAACGAAAGAGGCGAGGGTGGAGGGGGAGAGATCCAGTGTCACCCTTTTGCAGTCCACCCCATGTGGACTCTTGTTTTGTTTTGAGATGGGGTCTCACTGTGTAGCCCTGGCTGTCGGGAATTCACAGAGATCCTCCTGCCTCTGCCTCTCCAATCATAGTAGTAAAGCCACCATCTGGCAGGCGTGCGTGCATGCGTGCGTGTGTGTGTGTGTGTGTGTGTGTGTGTGTGTGTGTGTGTGTGCGCGCGCGCGTGTGTGCGTGTGTGTGTGTGTGTGTGTGTGTGTGTTTGAACAGCACCTAGGAGGCCCCTGGATGGTGGAGTGAGACAGGAGGGGTGAGGGAAGCTGTGGGTGGCCTCCCACTGCAGGGTGACAGCAGGGACCATGCTGATTGTTTGTTCCTCAGCAGTCACAGGGGACCATTGCCCAAAGCCCTGGTTTCCACAGTCCTCTCTGGTCAAGAGACCATAGTGTCAAGCAGTGGTGGCACATGCCTTTAATCCCAGCTCTTGGGAGGCAGAGGCAGGCGGATCTCTGTGAGTTTGAGGCCAGCCAGTGAAAGCCTGTCTTAAAAACAGAAAGAGGAGAGAGAGAGAGAGAGAGAGAGAGAGAGAGAGAGAGAGAGAGAGAGAGAGAGAGAGAGAGAGAGAGAGAGAGAGAGAGAGAGAAAGAATGGCATTTCATTGTAAGTGGACAGGGGCTTTGTAAACTTCAAACTCTCTTAGGTGACTCTCAGGTGACTGACCACACTTAATGCAACAGGACCCTGTGCAAGTGCTGGCTTTCTTTATTGTTTGGGGAACAAGGAGAAAATTTACCAGGTGGGCAGTACGGGTGCAACTTTGCCCTCGTTGGCTTTTTATTATTGTTATTTTGATTTTTTTGAGACAGGGTCTCATATCATCAAGGCTCGTCTTGAACTTGCTATGTAGCCAGGAATGACCGCAGTCTCCTGATTCTCCTCCTTAGTAGAATACTAAGAATAGCTCTCACTCTGCTTCCTCCCTGCAGGTCCATGAAGCTCACCTACCATGATTCAGGGGTGTTTGAAGGCATCCCCATCTATCGCTTCACGGCCCCTAAAACTTTATTTGCCAATGGGTCCGTCTACCCACCCAATGAAGGCTTCTGCCCGTGTCTCGAGTCCGGCATTCAAAACGTCAGCACCTGCAGGTTTGGTAAGTGTCCCGTCGGCACTCCGTCCCCGGCTCCAGGCTGAGGTGCGGGTGGCACCAGGATTTTATCTGCTGCCAGCTTGCAGTCCCATTAATCTCTGGTCTCTGCACCCCTGATGATCTCAGTGCCACAGATACGGAGCTAAAGATAAGTGGAAAAGATAACACCACCCTGATAAATGTCCCACCAGCACTCATTACCCGCAGGCTATGTTGCTCGAAGTCCGAAGGGTCCTGCCCTGAGGTTGAGATCTGACAATGGGCGCTGATTCTTGGTCATGGAGAGGAGTCTGCCCTCATCCCCTCCCTGCTTCTGGAGTTACCACATTCCTTGGCTTGTGGTCCCTTCCTTTCAACCTAGCATCCAGTTTGGGACCGGGTAGTGCTGTGTGGCCCGAGTTAGCTTCTAACTTCCATTCTTCCTGCCTCTGCCTTCTGAGTGCTGGGGTTGTGGGCACATACCCTGACACCAGATTCCCCTAAACACTTCATTCTCTGGCCTCCTCCTCTGCCCAGCTCTTACAGTTTTCAGGACCCCAGAGACTGGCTGGATGGGGGCCACGGTGAGACTAAAGATTCTGAGTGACAGCCAATCTTTAGCCTGGTGGCTGTGGCTGTAACTCCTTTACCCACTAGGATGTGGGTGGGAACACCCCTTGGGGCCGTTCACCTGCTAAGGAGCAAGGGCTTGGCAGTCTCTGGTAACTCTGCTGTTGTGTAAAACTCTCCTCTTCAGCCGAGTGTGAATCTCGGTGCTGGCTGTGTCCCCTGGCGTCTACTCTGAGTTCTAATGTGCCAGACCCTGCTATGCCCCACGTCCGTTGCTCAATTTGGATACTTGGGTGTCTGCTCCAGGCTGCACCCCTCACCTGGTGGTCAGGCCCAGGCAGCTCCAGGAACCTCCCACGCCGTGTTTCTCCTTCCCACTGGCTTCTGCCCCAGTCTGCCGCTGTGGGCCCCTCAGTCCTCGCCAGCTCATATTGCGCCAAATGCGAACCAATTTGAAATTAAAAGCTTCCTCTGTCCACGTCCTCTCAGAGGCCCTCCCTGATCTCCCGGACCTCTTTGGCCCTTTGGTCATTCTCTGTTCATTGTCTCTGTCCCTCCCTGGTGCCTGCAGGGAGGCACAGCAGCAGCTGATGTTATTTAACCCTTCCCTGCCTGTCTCCTCCCTAAACTGCAAACCTTGTGCCATTGTGCCCCCCCCCCCCGTACAACCTTTATAGTAGTTGTTCACAAAGTGTTAACATATGCAGAGACAGAAACTGGAAAGCCTAGCCGGGTGGGGGTGGCGCACACCTTTAGTCCCAGCACTCAGGAAGCAGAGGCAGACGGATCTCTGTGAGTTTGAGGCTGGCCTGCTCTACAGAGTATGTTCCAGGACAGGCACCAAAACTACACAGAGAAACCCTGTCTTGAAAAACCAAAACAAAACAAAGAAGGAGGGAGGCAGGGAGGGAGAGAGGGAGGGGGGAGAGAGAGAGAGAGAGAGAGAGAGAGAGAGAGCATTAGGCCTGAAGCAGGCTGGTGGCCTGGGTCTGGCGGTTGGTGGACACAGCCCCTCTCTGACTGACCCTGACTTTCAGAGCCTGTTTGAGTGGAACTCTGTCTTGTAGCTAGAGAAGTGAGCTCTGGGGATACAGCCATGGGGGTAAAGAAGAGAAGTGAAGAAATGACAGATCCTACTCTGCAGTTTCCCCTTGTGAGACAGATCCTCCCGGGTCACCCGCTGCACAGAGCCATCAGACCTGTGGCAGGGGCAGTTGCCTGGCCTGACTGGGGAACTCGTAGGTTAGTGGGGCTCAAGCTTCCAGGGCAGAGCCCTACACAGGCACGGGGTCCAGGGCTTGCCTGTGGTAGGAAGCTGTATCCACAACCCTAGCTCTGCCTTCCCCTCAGCGCGTGGTCCCAGAGCTTGCTCCAGCTGCTCCTAGTCACTGAGGCCAGGCTTAGGCTGTGCTGATTGGCCAGGGGGAGGGGGTCGCACACACTGCAGGAGCCGTGACATCCCGACATCCTCTGCTGACAGGGAAAGAGTTTCATACGTGCCAAAGAATCTAAGCATGCTTGTGTCTGTAGCTTGTTCCTTGTTTGTTGGGGAGGGCACAAGCCTGTGTGTGCAGACACAGGTGTGCATGGAGGCCTGAGGTGGCTGTCTTCCTCCGTCAGATCCTCTGACTAATCCTTGTCCTGTCCAGCTCCAGGAATTCACATGTCTCTGCCTCCCAGGACTGAGGTTACAGGTGTGGGCTGCCACATCTGGTTTTCTATGCGAGTTCTGGGGACCTGAACTCAGGTCCTCATGCTCTCACAGGGGACGCTCTACTGACTGAGCCGTTTTCCCAACCCCCTAACACTTGCCTTTTTAAATGGAAGGAGAACAGGAAAGGGGAGGGGTGGCTCAGACGAGATGAGCAGTTTGAAAACTTCAAGGGGAGCACAGCCAAGCGGCCAACAACAGCCCGCGAGGAGGCGGATACAGTATTTCCCTTGCTCCTCCTGCCCACCGGCCTGACTTTTGGTCTCCAGGCTCTCTGCTTGGTGTTGGTGTTTATGTAGATGGAGTCATGGTGTGTGATCTTTCCCCCTCGTCCCCTGATGCTGCAGCCCCTTTGTCACTTTGATATGGTCCATCTGCAAGATGGTGGGTGATTGAGTTTGGCCTCCAGGTTGTTGTGTAGTATTCCACAGAGGGACTATACACTGCTCGCCTTAGCTCTTCCTGGCTCATGGAGCTGTCTCTTGGCATTTCACTATTACAAGCTTGCTTCTAGAACATTCTTGCACATGCTGTGAGGGAGCACCCGAGGCCACATTTCTGTGGCATTTGTATCTGACGATAAAGAATACACATAGCTTTCCCCCTCTGGGTCATGAGAATTTCTTTGACTCAGGACTCCCTGTGTCTCATCTCCCTGTCTTGGGAGAGCCTTGGACCTTTCCTAGAGTGTCCCTTAATCACCACCGGGGTAATCCTGAGCAGTTAAGTCTGGATACATGGGCCATAAAGCTGTAAATTAATTATGCTTATTGCCCTGGGCGCGTCTCTCAGAGGGTGTTTGAAAATAAAAATGGAAGATGAAACACACATGCTGTTAGAAATCCACATGGGCATGCCATCTGCAGCAGGCTGAGTTGGCAGCCATGACACTCTGTTAGAATCTGTGCCTTCCAGGTCTGGTTAGGTGGGAGCTTCATTTCCCCAGGATCCACGGTGTCCCCTCTATAGAAATGGGCCTCTGGTGTTTGCTTGTGTCTCCATTTGCAGGTTGGATGAGGTTTTCCAAACTGAAGGCAAGCATGGGGTGGCTTGACTCTCGCTCCATTGGAATGAGTCCTTCTCTGTCCGGCCAGCCAGCTCCCAAAAAAATGACACGGAGACTTCTTACTAATTATGCATGTCCTACTTCCTCTGGGTGCAGCTGGTGACTTCTCCTTTCTTCTTCCCAGAGCTCTCTCTGTCCAGAAGTCCCACCTGTATCTCCTGCCTCGCTATTGGCCAGGTAGCTTCTAATTTAGCCAATCACAGTGACGTATCTTTACACAGTACAATCAGGTATCTCACAATATTTTCCCCTTTTTGTATAAATAAAAAGGAAAGGGTTTTATTTATTTATTTATTGGTTTTTCAAGACAAGGTTTCCCTGTATAACTCTGAAGCCTGTCCTAGGACTAGCTCTTGAAGACCAGGCTTGCCTCAAACTCCTCAGTGCTAGGATTACAGGCAAGTGCCACCATCACCCAGCCTGCCTTTGGTTTTTAAAGATTTGTTTGATTTTTTTAAATTATGTGATGTGTATTTTTTGTATTATTTCTGTGTTTGTTTGTACACATGAATGCGGGTCCGGTCAGAGGCCAGAAATGTCTGATCTCAGGCAGCTGGAGTTACAGGCAGTTGTGAGCCTTCTGACATAGGTGCTGGGAACCGAACCCAGGTCCTCTGCGAGAGCAGAAGCACTCTTGGCCGCTGAGCTGCCTCTCCAGCCCCGAGGTTTTCTTTCCTTTTTTAACTTTAGAGTGTTGGGAATGGAAAGGCTTACGAAGCACAGCTTTGAAGAGCAGTGCGCCTCCCTTCAGCGAGTCTGTTGCCCCAGTGCGTCTTGTGGCCTCTTAAGGGAGGCTGGTAACTCTTGTCCTGAGATGGCTGTGTTGGGCCACTTTGCTTGATTGATGGTGAGGTCCTTCCTCAGGGCCCTGGATGGGAACCTTTTGACCGGGGCTGTCCCCTCTCCCCTCCTGTGATCCCAGAGACCAGCTCATATGCACCCCTGAGCTATGATGCTTGCAGAAGCGCCCCTGTGCCTGGCTGGCCACTCACATGGGGAATCATGTGACCTTGGTTTTCCTTTTCATCTTCATCTCCCAGGATTCCCTCTTGCAGCTCTGGCCCTGGGGCCTCCGTGGTGCTCTCACCTCTGCCACACTCCTGCCTGGTGTGCCTTCCCTTGCTTGGTAGCAGCTGCCCTCTCCCCGTCCGTGTCCCCACCCCCTCCCCCCCGCTCCCCCCGCCCTCCCACCCCCTCATCCCCCCGCCACCACTGGGTTCAGCCACCCTGGCTCCATCCACCCACCCCGTATCCTGTGCCCACTTCTCTACGCAATGAGGGAAGGGTTTCTCCCTGCCTGGTCACTGATGTCCCATCTCGTTAATGCCCCCCTATAAGTCTGTTTCCTTCCTTGTCCTGCACCCCTGGCTCCCAGCCAGGCCATTGTGAACCCCTTTGTCTTCTGACTGTGTCCCTCCCCTCCTCCAGGTGCGCCTCTGTTTCTGTCACACCCTCACTTCTACAATGCAGACCCCGTGCTATCAGAAGCCGTTCTAGGTCTGAACCCTGACCCAAAGGAGCACTCCTTGTTCCTAGACATCCACCCGGTAAGCTCTGTGCCCTTCTAGAATCTAGGGCTGGTTCCTATGGGTGGCTACGGGCCACTGTTCCCCTGTCTCGTCCCCCCTGGGGGAGCTGGCTCTACCTGGGGCAGGGGAGCCCAGTTCCTTCCACAGTGGCGGCTTCTAGAACTTCGAGCCGTCAAAGGTCCCCAATTCCATAGTTCAGTGATGTCGTTACTTTTTTATTGGGGCCTATAAAAAGATATATGGTGGTAAATTAATTAAGAAATATCAGCTGGGACGTCTCCTGCACTAGAGATACCTTTGACAGTGTCAAGACACTAAAGATTTTGAGACATCAGTGTGAGCCACAGTGTGTCACAGAAAAATCAGCGTGGGGAATTTGTCCTGTGTTAACTTGTGGCCACCAGCCAGGGTCAGAAGGGTGACGCCCAGACACAGGCCCTCTCTGGGATGCACAGCTCTTCTCTCTGCTTCTGGTTCCTTGTGACCAGTCAGGCTACTGTCCTTACCATTAACTTGGGGACTCTTGGGACTCCTATTCTGTTTGAACACCCATGGCATCCTGAAGGTATTTTGTGAAAACCTTTTTTTTTTTACTGGGCGTGATGGAAGCCTGGGTCTCTCCCACACGACAGATACTCTGGTTCTGAGCCGGGGCCTCCCACTGGCCTAGAACTTGCGATCCTCCTGCCTCAGCTTCCAAGTACATCTCCACACCTGGCTCACAGGCAAGGGTTATTGCAGAGGGAGGGTAGGCACGTGGGGGGAAGTTGTCTGTTGTCTTCCGCAGCAAGAAACCTGACACATAGGAAGTATTTTATGCCAGGAAAGCCCCCCGCCCCCGGGATAAGAGCCTGGGTGTTGACTGGAGACCTGTCCTGTGGGTCCCTCTCCTTGAGGCAGGTCCGTGCTCCAGACTTCCTGAGGACATAGGTGCCCAGTGTCAGCTGTCTTTGCAAATGGGCGCAGCACATCGAGACCAACACCCTAGCTTAGGAAGTGGAGGCCCCCTGGAACTCAGGTTCCAAGACCCTGGCCGAGTTCCTGGGGAGGGTCGCTCAGCCCACCCATGGTGGATCTGTGTGCAGGGCTGTGACCCCACACCTCTGTAAGTCACGTCCGGTTTGTGGAGGCCTTTGTCCTGGAAACAGGAGGGACCTGAGTGCGTTGGGCTCAGGGGAAAGGCAATGTCCTTGTCCTCTACTGTGGGGGTTGTGACATGAGAGGTGGCCTTCTGCTCCCATCATCCTCGCAAGAGTCACATGATCTGGGCAGGGCTAACTGCATTCCCAGCAAACAGCCCAAAGCCGCGGTCCTAATTCTCTCTTCACCAACCTTCTCTCGTTTCATCCTAGAGCTTTCTTCCTGACTTAAATGACGTGAGTGTCAGTTCTCCTAGAGATTATTATTATTATTATTATTATTATTATTTTGTAAAGCGTCTCTCTCTCTCTCTTTTTTTTTTTTTTTTTTTTTTTTTGGTTTTTCGAGACATGGTTTCTCTGTATTGTTTTGGAGGCTGTCCTGGAACTCGCTTTGTAGACCAGGCTGGCCTCGAACTCAGAGATCCACCTGCCTCTGCCTCCCCAGTGCTGGGATTAAAGGCGTGCGCCACCTACGCCCGGCCGTAAAGCGTCTCATTTTAAAAATAGAGCCTCATGTGGGAAGCTTTTCTGCTGGTGCCTCTGCTAGGAAGTGGCAGGATCCTGCATTGCTATGAGTAAAGAGAAAAGACAGTGCAGTTAAACGTATCCACCCTGGAGCAGGCCCAGCAATAAGCTTCCTGAGTCAGTGGACAATGCTGGAAACAGATTGAAAGCCATCTTAACTGCGCGTGCCCCACACTTGGGAGGCACTGTCTGAGGGAAGCTATACGAGGGCTGGGAATATGGCTCAGTAGATAGGGTGCTCGCTTGGCATGCACAAAGGCCTAGGTTCCATCCCAGCACTGTGTAAATTTAGGCATGAGCCAGCCCTCAGAAGGTGGAGGCAGGGAGATTTGGAGTTCAAGATCATCCTTGGTTATGTAGCAAGTTGGAGTCCAGCCTGAGCCACATGAACTTCTGTCTCAAAACAAAACAAAAACCAAGCCGGGCACTGGTGGCGCACGCCTTTAATCCCCGCACTCAGGAGGCAGAGGCAGGCGGATCTCTGTGAGTTTGAGGCCAGCCTGGGACAGCCAAAGCTACAGAGGAACTCTGTCTCGAAAAACAAAAACAAAAGCCAGATGGAGATCACCCCTCTGGTGGTGAGTGGCTCTATAGAGGGGACATTGAGAGAGAGCCTAGTGTCTGCATGGGAAGTTTCCAGAAGGGTGGCTGCCCCAGTCTTTTGGCTGGTTCATGTGGGTGAGAAGCCTCTCAGGGCTCCAGAGCTGGAGCAGGCCTCCATGGTCTTTTTTTTTCCCCCTTAAGATTTACTATGCATACACACGCCAGAAGAGGGCACCAGATCTCATTATAGATGACTGTGAGCCACCATGTAGTTGCTGGGAATTGAACTCAGGACCTCTGGAAGAGCAGCCAGTTCTTTTAACCTCTGAGGCATGTCTCCAGCCCTATGGCTTCCATGGTCTTACAGTTCTCCTCACTGTTTTCTGCTCCAGGTCACTGGGATCCCCATGAACTGTTCTGTGAAGTTGCAGCTGAGCCTCTACATCAAGTCTGTCAAGGGCATTGGGTGAGTAGGTTGGTGTGGAAACTTCTGAAGGCATCAGGGACCAGGAGGCTCCATACATTGGTGGATGAAAGGCATGGGACAAGAGAAGGGTCCATCCACTTCTGTCTTCCCTATGAAAGCATCTTTGCTCTGGATGGAGACCCAGCCTGCACCCCTACACTCCTTCATTCCCCCTTCCCTAAGGTCTCTCCTCCGACAGTCAGATTGGTCAATCCAAACTGTCTCCCCATAATAGAATAGATTGCCCGATTGCTTGTCTGTGCACCATGTAAGCGCAATGCCCATAGATGCCAGAAGAGGGCATGAGATCCCAGGGGACTGGAGTTGCAGATAGTTGTGAGCCACTGTATGGGTGCTGAGAATTGAACCTGGGTCCTCTGGAAGAGCAGCCAGTGCTCTAAACCATCATTCCCTGGATTTACTTTAATTATGTGTACGGAGTGAGACTGCGAGGGCTTCTGCCCCATTCCACGTTTGCCAGGCAGAAACTCGGTGGTGGAATCCGGCCTTGGAGCTGATCACTGGTCAGTGTCACAGATCGGTGCCTGGGAACCACTTACAAGGATGTGACTGAGGAAGAGATGGGCTCTGGGCTTCATGGCTTGAGTGGAATGAAGCCAGCAGGGCCTACAGGTCTCATACTCAGAGCCCGACCCTGACCTTCTGTGGGGGAAACCAAGGCCAGGAAGCACCTAACTCAGATAGACTCCTATAGACACATACACACACACACACACATGCACATGTACACTCACACACATACACACATGTATACACATACACCACACACACACACACACACGCACGTGTACACTCACACACAAGCGCGCGCACGCACACACACACACACACACACACTCTGTCACTGAATTACACCCATGTGTATATATACACCACACATACTCACACACAGGCACACATACTCACACATATGCACACACACACAGACACACACAGAAACTCCTGATTGCTGGAAAAACACTCTGTCACTGAATTACACCCACATGTATACACACACAGCACACATACTCCCACACAGACACACACTCTCACACATATGTACACACACATACACACACACACACACACACACACACACACGAACTCCTGATTGCTGGAAAAACACTCTGTCACTGAATTACACCCACGTGTATACATACACCACACATACTCACACACAGGCACGCACACACACACACACACACACAGACACACACAGAAACTCCTGATTGCTGGAAAAACACTCTGTCACTGAATTACACCCCCAGGCCTCTTTTCACTTTTGTTTTGCCAGAGTCTCACTAAATTGCTCGGGCTGCTCTTGAACCCACTCTGTAGCCCATCGTGACCTTGAACTTGACCCCGAACCACTCTAGCTGGCTCATGCAGGCCCTTGAAACTGGAGGCCAAAGTGGGCTGGCGTGAGCTCCTGAGGGCAGCTTCCAAAGATTGATTTGTTCCACTGCCTCAAATACTCTTTAGAATCTTTATAGATTTATGGAGAGGTGGCAGAAGTGGAGATCTTTGTCCTCTGTCCCCAGAACCGTCTACACTGTCAACTTCTGGCAGTAGTTGTCACAGTAAGGAACCAAAGTCTAGTGTCGTGTTTTCACTACAACCCTTTCCCATCAGCTTCTACTTCAAGATGTAGTCTGCTCAGGCCTGCTGGCTCTGTGTGTGTTTGTGTGTGTGTGCGCGCGTGCGCGTGCGTGAACGCACGCATGTTTCATGTACACTTACATGCATGTGTGCAAGGCCAGAAGAGGGTGCTGCACGTCCTGCTCTGTCACTCTGCACCTTCTTCCCTAGAGACAGGGTTTCCCACTGAAGCCCCAGCCAGCCCTGTCTCTACCCCTCTCAGCCCTGGGGTCAGAGGTTTAAAGCTGCACACAGCTTTAGCTCTAGGCTCCGGGATCTGCCCCCAGGTGCATATACCTGAGCAGCAAATGCTTAACCCATTGCCCCATCCCCCGGCGCCATGAGTACGTGAAAGTACTTGCTGGGTCTGGGCCTGTGTGGTGGGACCAGGTTCAGCTGTGGACAGCTGTTAATGCAGCCACCCAGGCTCCCATGGGATGCGACTCATTGGTATTGCTTATCATTTATTTATTTAAAGATTTATTTTTTGGCCTGGAGAGATGGCTCAGAGGTTAAGAGCACTGGCTGCTCTTCCAGAGGTCCTGAGTTCAATTCCCAGGAACCACATGGTGGCTTGAAACCATCTGTAACAAGATCTGGTGCCCTCTTCTGGTGTGCAGGCAGAACACTGTATACTTAATAAATAAATAAGAAAGATTTTTAAAAAAAGATTTATTTTTTAGTATATAGTATTCTGTCTGCATGTCTGCCTGCAGGCCAGAAGAGGGCACTGGATCTTACTAGAGATGATTGTGAGCCTCCATGTGGTTGCTGGGAATTAAACTCAGGGCCTCTGGGAGAGCAGTCAATGCTCTTAACCTCTGAGCCATCTCTCCAGCCCTCTTATTATTTGTTTTTTGTTTTTTGTTTTTTTTTTTTTTTTTTTGGTTTTATGAGACAGGGTCTCTCTGTATTGTTTTGGAGGCTGTCGGTCCAGCCTGGCCTGGAACTCACAGAGATCCGCCTGCCTCTGCCTCCCGGATTAAAGGCGTGCACCACCACTGCCCGGCTTATTATTTATTTTTTAATGTATTTATTGGGGAAGAGCAGATATGGAGGTCAGGACAGCTTTTGGAAGCCTATTCTCCCCTCCCGCCTTGTGGATCCTGGGGATGGAACTCAGGCCGTTGGGCTTGGTTGCAAACACCATTACCTGGTGAGCATGCCACTCCCCTTAGTTTATTTATTTTTTTGAGCCAGGGTTTCATGTAGCCCAGGCTGTCCTCGAACTTGGCTAAGGATAGTCAAATGTACTGAGCTCTTGCCCTCCAAGCTCCCCCTACATCTTTCTGTCCCATTTTCTTGTGAGGTGTTGCGGATTGGACCAAGCCCGTGCACATGATAACCAAAAGCTCTATTGAGTAACACAGCACCCCTAACTCCGAACATAGCTTCCATTCTCAAGGTCACCCTCGGTCACTCACTCTGTGTCCCCTTGTTTCTAGGCAAACAGGGAAGATCGAGCCTGTGGTCCTGCCATTGCTGTGGTTTGAGCAGGTGAGGCTCTGCGGGCAGTAGGGAGTCTGGGGAGCCTGCGTGTATCTGATTGAAGAGGTGCAGGCCCGGCTTGTTTATCTTATTTCACTTTGATGCTAATGTTAGCTTAATTTCTGGTACCTAAATTTAGTTATTCGTATGGATGTTTTTCCTGCATGTATGTATGTGTACCACATGAAAGCCTGGTACCCACAGAGATCAACAGATCCCCTTGAACTGCAATTACAGATGGTTGTGAGTCACCAAGTGGATGCTTGGAAGGGAATCTGGGTTCCCTGCAAGAGTAGCCAATGCTTTTAACCACTTAGCCTGCTCCGGGGTTTGCTAATGGCTCCTGGAAGTCAGGTTCGCTTCCTCTTTGTCTGAGGCGGTGCCCGGAGGTGGAGATCGGCACCATGCCACCTCATCTTTCTCCTGACCCTTCAGGTCCTAAGATTAGGTTCTAACCCGTGTAAGAGATGACGCTTGTGCGAGAGGCCTTTGGGGTTAAGTCCACCTCCCATTGGTCAGTGCCAACAGCAAGGGCTTCTGGGAAATGTAGTTCTCCTTGAACTTCTGGCAGCCCTGGGGCTCTCCGGTCTGAGTTTGGGGGTGGGGCGGGACGCAAGGGAGGGTTCTGGAAGGTGCGGTGTGCAGCCCAGCCCCCCTCACCTGCCGGTCCGTCCTGCTGCAGAGCGGTGCCATGGGCGGCGAGCCCCTGAACACGTTCTATACGCAGCTGGTCCTGATGCCCCAGGTACTTCACTACGTGCAGTATGTGCTGCTGGGGCTGGGTGGCCTCCTGCTGCTGGTGCCCATCCTCTACCAGCTGCGGAGCCAGGTAAGTAGGCGGGGCGGCAGGACTCTGTGCTCCGGCGGGGTCGGGTTTGTCTCCTGCAGCCAGCTCTCTTTCTAGCACTTTCGCATCCTGCTCTTCTTTGCCTGTCCCGGAAGGCCCAGGACCCTCCCCGGCGGGTGCTGGGCTGAGAGACGTACCCAGTCATTTGACCAGCAAGTAGGTACCACTTGGTGCAGGCCCTGTGAAGTGCCTGCTGGAGGCGGAGGTGGCCTGGTCAGACAAGCAAATGAAAGCCAGGGTAAACCAAGCAGAAAGGAAACTTTATCAAAGGTAAAAGATAACAGAAAGTGGGCTGGGCCAGAGCTGGGTCTGAGATGCAGGTGGGAGGAGCCGCATGTGGGCTTTGAACTTAGATTTTCTAAGTGAGTTTAGTTATAAATTTTGTTTAACCCAAATATATCAAAATATGGGGCTGAGGGGTAGCTCAGCAAGAGAGCCCTTGTATAGCAAATCCATTCAGTCGTCAACACTGACAGTAAAATCTGCAATCAAAAGTGACAAATAGATCGGAAAAAAATAGAAGGAAGGAAGTCAGTCGGTCGGTCTGGAGAGATGTCTCAGTGGTTGGGAGCACTTATTGCTTGCAGAGGACCTAGGTTCCATGCCCAGCACTCACATGGTGGCTCTCCACCCTCTGTAACCCTAGTTCCAGGGGATGTAACAGGTACGCACGCGGTGCACATACATGCAGGCAAAATATTCGCACACATAGAATAAAAATTTAAAAGCGCAGAGAAGGCGTGCAATCAGTACGCAAGATACAAAGGCTCTCTCAGTTCTTTTTCCAGATTTAATCTTTGAAATCTGGTGACCGTTTCACACCAGGTGTGGTGGCTTGTGCCTGTAATCCCAGCATTCAGGAGGGAGGTTGAGGCAGGAGGATTGGAAATTCAAAGTCATCCTCGGCTAAATGTAAAATTTGAGGCCAGCCTGGGCTACACGAAACCTTGTCTCGGAAAATAAAATAAATGGAATAGTGTAGTTCAGCCCTGGGTGTGGGTGACTTCTATAAGGAAGGAAGAGAAATGGATGAAAAATGTAACCCTGAGGCATGTAGCCACTAAAAACAGGAAGCAAGTGGGGGGGGGTGACTAGATTATTAGTTCCCTTCTGGCCTTAGGGCCGTCCATCCACTAGTGGTGAGAATTGTGTCTTCAAGGCTGTGCCCATAAATCTTGGGTCACAGAAATGAACAGAACATACAGCTTGAAATTCAGGGCCAAGTCCCCTCACGTGGGGCTAGCAGCTGCTGCAGTTATGAGGCCTGGGCAGTCGAGGACAGGGTGATGATCAGCTGTGACGGGAGGGTTGCTGTCTGCAGGCAGGGAGCCAGTGGCCACCCGCAGGGCCCAACCTGAGATATCCTGGGACCACAGGCCCTTCTTTCTGCTTGGTGTGCTTGGTGGGGGGACCTTCGCTCCTGCTGCCTTCCTGCCTTCCTGCCCAGTCTGCTGGTTTTCTTTCTGGAGGTGTGCTTGCTTGCTTGCTGTGAGAAGAGCAGAACCCTTTCAAGCCGTCAGCACCCCACTTCCATTTCCAAGCACTGGCCCAGGATCTCATGTCATCTCAAAGGGGCATCGGGGAGCCTCTGGCTCTCCATGTTGACTGAAGCCTTGAGTGTCTGACGGACAGTCATTGGCTGGGCTTCCAGGCTGGTGTTGCTCTTCCCTGCGGCTGCCCAGTGAGAGCTGGGCTAGCCTCTTCCAGTCAGCCATTGGAGAAGAGAGGGAGGATCCAAGACTAGAAGGCTCCTTCTCATTGCACCTCAGGGTCTAGGGTCAAGACTGCTTGCCCTGCAGGTTTCATCAGAGGCCAAAACAGCAATCCACACCCTACCAGCCTTGCCCTAACAAGATTAGGCCGTGTGTGTGTGTGTGTGTGTGTGTGTGTGTGTGTGTGTGTGTGTGTGTTTGTCTCAGTTTTTTTTTTTTTTTTTTTTTTTTTTGGTTTTTCGAGACAGGGTTTCTCTGTATTGTTTTGAAGGCTGTCCTGGAACTCGCTCTGTAGACCAGGCTGGCCTCGAACTCACAGAGATCCACCTGCCTCTGCCTCCCGAGTGCTGGGATTAAAGGCATGCAACACCACCGCCCGGCTAGTTCTTTTTTTTTTAACTGCATGCTGGCTGGTAAAAAACATAGCCATATGTCATTCTTTTTGTTTTTGTTTTTCGTTTTGTTTTTCCAGGGTTTCTCTGTATTGTTTTGAAGGCTGTCCTGGAACTCACTCTGTAGACCAGGCTGGCCTAGAACTCACAGAGATCCGCCTGCCTCTGCCTCCCAAGTACTGGTATTAAAGGTGTGCACCACCACCGCCCAACTCCATACGTTAATTCCTATACTTCATTCTCGAGAACAAATTTATGTCAATATTTACCCCTGATTGAAAACTTCATGGACTTGGGGAAGTAGATAAATGAGACACTGTGATTAGCAGGCCCCAGGCCCTGTGTTCAAGTCCAGCCCAGCTCCACCAAACCAGACCCAAGAAACCCAAACACCCTCCACACTTGCCCTACTGTGACCTGTGGGTGGCTCTCTGATGCTCTGCTTGTCCATCTTCCGGGGCAGGTCGCCCATGACGCAGGGTGGAGGACTCTGCTCTCCTGTTCTCTTCTGTCCCTTTACTTCTGGGGAACCCAGGGACTCCCCAGTGATACAGCACGGAATATAAACGAGCTTGGTTGTCTTCCAGGAGAAGTGCTTTTTATTTTGGAGTGGTAGTAAAAAGGGCTCGCAGGATAAGGAGGCCATTCAGGCCTACTCTGAGTCTCTGATGTCACCAGCTGCCAAGGGCACGGTGCTGCAAGAAGCCAAGCTGTAGGTGCGTACCAGGTAACCCTCCCCGCCCCGGCTCGTCTGCAGCCGGTAGACCTGCCCCACCCTCCCCACCCACAGCATCTGCCTGGGTGTCATCCGCATGGAAAGCCACCCTCCTGCCGTCATCACAGAGGGTCCCATCTTGCCTCAAGTTTCTTGGACCTTGGGTCACTGACTCTCAAGATGGGAGTTAGGCCAGTTGCTTCTCAGAGCTCCATCCTGGGCAGTTTGCTCAACGCAGGTCCCTGGGCATCCTGAAAACCCAGAGACCCCTGCAGCCCCGAGGGTCTGAAAACTATTTTTCTGCACCTCAAAGGGTATTTTGGTGCAGAAGGCACCCTGGTTCCAGTCTGGAGTAAGAGACTAAGTAATTTAGGCATTGGTGAACACCAGCTATATATATACTTGGGCCCTAGGCCTGAGGATATGATTACCAGGTTGAGCATATAGGATCTATAGCAGGTTGCTCAGTACAGTCTAAGAGTGTCTGCCCTGTGCAGCGCTGGGCTAGGTGGTCTCGGTAGCTCACCACCGATGCAGGTATCACTGCTTACTCAGCAGCCCACCTTGTAGGGGCCCAAGGCAGCCCTTCCCCAAGATCTCCAGTACAGGGCTAAGGAGGGCCGAGCCCTACAGGGTGTGTCCCTGCCCGGGAAGTGACAGGAAGAGTGATGCGCCCTGCGATTTGAGGTTAGCAGAGGTGAGTTGTGTCCCAACAGAAGCAGCTATTTTAACTTTTAAGCCAGCTTGGGTGTGAACCCTTCCTTGGCGGGAGCTAGGAGGGTGGAGGCCACAGCTCGGCTCCTGGGTCTCTGCTGGCCACTTCCAGCAATGTTCGCTGTCAGAGAAGCAGAGCTCTGGTGGGTATATGATTGTCCTGGAAGGTGCCACCTCCCCCAAAGGAGGAAGGACAGGCCCAGTAGGCCTGGCCTCTGCAGCTCAGTGGGTCTCATGTGTCCCTGGAGCTGAGGAAGGGTCCGGGTGGGTGGGGCTTCCAGGAGGGGTGAGGGTGGGGCCTCGTGTCCTGCTGCCTTCCAGCAATGGTGTCCTCTGCAGGTGGTATTTGGTATGCCAGGTGGGTGGGAGATAGGGGACTCCCAGGGGACAAACGCCGTCTCCAAGCAGAGACTGGATAGTCACATTAGCCCAGATGGAGCCCATAGCTGCACAACCTTAGCCCTGTCCAGACCCCAGTAAAAGGAGTGAAACTGAGGTTTCCTCTTTATTTTCCCGGCTGGTCCAGGCTTTGTTTGGCTTCAAGATTCCCTTGGGCTATGGAGAGTGGCTTGACTTCCCACTCCAGGGGACACCTCAGTCCTGGCCATGTGCTAGGGACCTTCATCCTGTGGGGTGACATGTGGGTCCCTGCATAGGGGATTACCCCACCTCACTGCCTGGCTAAGTAAGACTGGGTGAGGCCCACACTTACTTTGCCTTGCACCTGGGTGTGGGGGTGGCCCCTAGGGGCGCCTGCTGTTCCTGCAGGAGACGGAAGACAGGGCCACTGCTAGCCCAAAGGGTATTATTATATGAGTAAGAAAAAGACGCTCGCTCTGGGCAAATGGGTGTTGCTGTAAGGCAAGGGGTTGGCAGGCAGGGGTTTTGGCTGTGTGGTCAGGTGCTGTGAACAGACAAGGGTACAGAGTGGCTTTGGGGACATGCTCTGAACCTCTGTTTCTCATTGGTCTGTCTCCTGTCCTAAATTATCCTGTCAAATACTGTCGTGGGGGAGGGGGAGGGGAGGGGAAATGTGTCCTGGCTGTCCAGTGCCTTATAGACTTGTTGCACATGTTTTTCTTGGGAAAGACCAAGCTACAGTCAACCCTCGTGTTATTCTCTAGCAACAAGGGCATGCTGGACCACTCAGACTACCTTTGAATTTATGGTAGTCCTCCTGCCTCAGTATCCCGAGTACTGAGATTCCGAGCCCATACCACCGCTATGCCTTGTGCCCCACTTTTGCCTCAGATTTTTTCTGTCTGTCTGTCAGTCCGTCTGTCTGTCCATCCATCTGTCCGTCCGTCTGTCCGTGTTCCAGAAATCGAAGCCAGGGCTCTTTTACTGAGTGTGTTCCACCTCTGATCTTCACCCCTCCCCGGCACCCTGTTTTTACTTTGCAGTGAGACTTTCTCACATGTTGGGGTGCTGTGGCTTATAGTTGGGGGGGGGAGACTGGCTTTGGTCCAGGGAGAAGACACTCCCCCACCCACAGCCCTCTCTGTCTGCACCCAGCTGGAGGGTGTGGCAGGGCTGGGGTGACGGTGTCTCTCTCTGTCCTAGGGGAGGGGGAATGGGGCTGCAGGGCAGGGATAGGCACCCAGTATTCTCATCATTTTCCTAAGCTGGGAAATCCTTTCAAATCGGAGTCAATCAACATCTACTCCATCTTATCCCTCTCTGTATCTTACCCCTTTTCTCCATATCGTACTGTTCCCTAAGGCCCTAAGGCCACCATTGCAAGGATTTGGTAGGAAGATGTCTCTCACCTCCATGAACGAGAGCCATTTTTTTTTTTTTTTTTTTGGTTTTTTCGAGACAGGGTTTCTCTGTGGTTTTGGAGGCTGTCTTGGAACTCGCTTGGTAGTCCAGGCTGGTCTCGAACTCACAGAGATCCGCCTGCCTCTGCCTCCCGAGTGCTGGGATTAAAGGCGTGCGCCACCAACGCCCGGCGAGAGCCATTTTTTAACAGCCGCTCCTGGCCTGTCGTGTGGCTCCGTTTTAAACAAGTCCTCCTGTGGACAGACGTTTAGGTCATTTCCAGTTTCCCTGTGCGACGGTGCTATACACCTGTTCTGGACTCTGCCGGTCTCTGGCTTCAGTTTTCCGGTCTCCAAAGGGAGGGGATGGAACCCAGTGACCCACAGGACTGAGGAGTCCCTGTGTGTAAGAGGGTGGCTTCTCTCAGGTCGCAGCAGACAGCAATGTGATGGGGAGGAGGTGGGTTCCGTGCTGGCGGGATGTGGGGTGGGAACCAGGGATGTGTGGGGCAGGGCGAGGTGACAGGCTGGTGACTGAACTTCTTCTTTTTCTCTACAGGGTCCCAAAGACACCATGAGCCCCCCAAACCTGATAGCTTGGTCAGACCAGCCATCCAGCCCCTACACCCCGCTTCTTGAGGACTCTCTCAGCGGACAGTCCGCCAGTGCCATCGCCTGAGCCCCCAGATGTCACACCTGTCCGCACAGCACACATGCGCCCAGGCGTGTGCAAAAACACTCAGGGACCAGGGACAGAGCCGCTGCTGACGGCGCCGGCCGAGTCACAGGCAGTCTCTTCTAAGCAGCCTGTGAGCCAGGCTGTGGGGGGATTGCAACTGCCACCAGCCCCTCCCATGGGGAGCTGGCCCTGCCCAGGCCCTCGGCTTCCTCCATCAGGCTGAAAGCCGCACTGTCACTCCTAGGGGTTGGGCGTGCGCAGCCTCTTGTGCCAAGGCCAGGCAGGCAGTTCCAGGTCCTGACCGGTCTGCACATGCTCTCTGGAGCCGTGTCTGGCCCTTTTCCTCCAGTCTCTGCTGCGTCGCCTAAACCCTGAATTGGCCGCGGTAAGTGGCCAAGGTGGCAGGTCCCTCAGGGTCCTTAGTTTTCAGGTGTGGTGTCAGAGGTAGAGAGGTGTGGGCCATCTACCCCTGGCACCTGGTCCTCTGGCATCTGGCCTGGTGGCCTGGTGTACTTCCCCAGAGGGTGGGGGACAAGGAGGCCCGTCGCTCTGCAACTGCCCCTTTTTCTACTGGAAGAGAACTTTTATCATCTTTTGGAAGAAACTTGTGATTGAAGCAATAAACGTTTTCACAGATTTAACACTGCCTTCCGTGATTGTCTGTTGGGCAGGGCTGGGGCTCCGGGGTCCAGGATGTGTTCCCCATGGTGGCCAACTATGCCTCCTGGTGTCGGGCCAGCACCATTTTCCACTTCCAGCCTGATGGGGAACGTCCTTGTCACACACGTGACCCTGGAGGGACTCGGGGGAAGGTGGCGAGGGAGGGTGTAAGCTTCATCCCAAGTCCAAGCAATTATAAAGGAGGCATTTCCCTCCTGGTATCCCTGTTTGAGAATAAAGCCGTGTTTTGCCCTCAAGGGACTCGCTAGAAACTGGGCAAGAGATTTGCAGTTTGAGCACTGCAGAGTGCACGAAGAAGCTCTGATGGTCGCCACGGTCTGCACCCCCTCCCTTGAGGGTTGGTTTTATTATTGTGTGTGGACCCATGCCGTGGCACAGGTGTGCAGGTCAGGATGACCGGCAGCAGCCGGGTCCAGGGATCGAACTCAGTTCCTCAGGTTTGGCAGCAAGCTCCTTTACCCACTGAACCCTCTCTCTGGCCCTGGCCTTCCTCTTCAACTTGCACTGTTTGCTCCCTGCCTTCCTACCTCCTACTAATCCCTGCGTTGTACTGTGCGACTTAAACATCTATGTAAGGTGGATTTTTTTTAATTTTTGTTTTTTTTTTAAGACAGGGTCTACATTTACAAGGCCAGCCTGGGCTGGAACTTATCCCCCTGCCTCCGTCCCCCAAATGCTGGGGTGACAGAGCAGATCTGTAATCTCCATGACCGGGAATAGCCAGCCTTTCAGGTTGGTCATGAACTTCCGGGCTCAAGGACTCCTCCAGCTTCGTCCTCTGCATGGCTGGGACCAGAGACATGCGCCCCTGTGCCCGCTTCCGCCTCTTTCCCATGTCCGTGCCTGCTTCTACTGCACCGCAGGCAGGGGATGAGAGCACTCGGAGGCCAACATGCCTGCTCAGGGGCCTGGGATTCTGGGGAGGTGTCCCCTTGTCCTGTAGATGTCTGTCTGTACCTGGTTTTCCCGGTGTGTGGAGACTCAAGCCTGGCCTGTGGTCTCCTTCATCTGCCGCTCCTGTTCGCCCAGTGTGCAAGAAGCTTTGTCCGCCCGCGACCCCACACACCCACTCCCCACCACATCACGTGAGCTAGGAGCAAAGGTGCACACCTCTAATCCCAGGCCTGGGACACAGGCAGAGGCAGGGGGATCGGGCATTCAGCTACATAGTGAGTTCAAGACCAGCCTGGGCTATACATAAGACTCTGTCTTAAAAACAAAGGAGGGCCGGGCGGTGGTGGCACACGCCTTTTATCCCAGCACTCAGGAGACAGAGGCAGGCGGATCTCTGTGAGTTCGAGGACAACCTGGTATACAGAGTGGGTTCTAGGCCAGCTAGGACTACATAGCAGGATTCTGTCTTAAAAAAAAAAGCAAAACTTGGGGTTCAGACACCACGTCCCCAGGGTTACCTCCCCCCTTTACTGTGACCTTCCTCTCAGCGCCTAACATTTGGCAGCTGGCTAGCTTTGCTTGTTCCAAAACATTCTCAGAAGGAACCACGCAGCGGGAGTCTGTCCAGTTGGCTTCAGGGACTCCTCTACTGCAGAGCAGTTTGCAGGGATCAATGCCATCAGTTGTCAGCCATCAGTCATCCAGGGTATTTTTACCCAGTAGGCTGACGCACCCACTGACTTCTCTCCACATTTATAGGACGCTGAGGAGTGGAAATAACCCGCTTGCAAAAGCTGGTTGCCCAATCTGCAGCTTAATGTGGGAAAGCTCCCCCACGGGGTGTGGAGGAGGCACAAGGCCAGGCGGTCCTTGAGGTCTAGATCTGGGAGATGGTCACTTATGGCGCCCCCTGCTGGCCCTGGGAAAGAATCCTTTTTGGTTTGGTTGTGGGGTGTGTACGCATGCGTGCATGCCTGCGTGCATGGGGGGTTGCGTGTGCGTGCATGTGTGCGTGTGTGTGTGCGTGTGTGTGTGTGTGTGTGTATGCGTGTGTGCATGGAGTTTGTCAGTGTACCACTTCCAGCTTAAGGTACCGAGATCCAAGAGTCCTCATGTTTGCACTTCATTGACTGAGCTATCTCTCCAGCCCTCCCTTTTGTTGTTGTCTGAGACAAGGTCTTGCTGTGTGTAGCCCAAGCTAGCCTCCAACCCTAGGCAAACCTGCCTCAACCTCCTCCCCAGGGCTGGAGTTCAGGCATCTGCTACGGTTCTCTATTTCTAAAGACTTGCTTTAAAAAAAAAACTTTTGCATTCTCGAGACAGGGTCTCTTTCTCTATGTAGCTTTGACTGTTTGGAACTTGCTATGTGGCTGGGCTGGCCTCCAGTTCACAGAGACCCACCTACCTCTTGCCTCCGAACGCTGGGATTAAAGGTTTACGCCACACCTGGCTTCAAGAATTAAATTTGTTTGAAGAGAAAGCCATGCGTCTGTGAGATCCTGGACGTGCCTGGCCAGCGATATTCTGTGGCACCCATAAGGGTTGACACGCAGCCCTTAGACTCACAGGCCCTTTGAGGACCAGTAGCTCTTAGTACTTGGAGGATCTGCTATACTGTCTCTCACCACCTTCTATGCTGCCAGTGGAGTGAGTGTCACTCCTGGTCATGCTCCTGCCTCATCCATGCCTCACTTTCATCAACCGCTCTACTCTAGCCATACTAACTTCTCTGGGAAGCCCCCTGTGCTGGCTAATTATAACTATCAGCTTGGCACAACCTGGGATCCTGCTAGAAGAGAACTCCAGGGAGGGACTGCTGAGAGATTCACAGAGATCCAGCTGGCCTGTGGGCGCACGTGTGGGTATTTGCCTGGACTGTTAGTTGAAGTGGGAAGACTCGCCCTGAGTGTGGGCGGCGCCATTCCCCAGGCCGGGCCCTGACCTGTATAAGAGTGAAGAAATCTAGCTAAGCATGCGCGCGTAGACAGAATGGCGTGTCTGTTTCTCTGCTCCCGACTGTGGATGTGATGGGTTGGATGCTTGAGTTCCTGCCTTGACTTTCCCAGAGTGATGGGTGATTTGCAACTGTAAGTTATGTATTCCTTTTTCCTCGTGTTCCTTCTGTCACAATAGAAATGAAACCAGGACACACACACACACACACACACACACACACACACACACACACACACACAGAGTGACAGCTGCTCAGTAAGCTTTCCCGTCTCAGTACACTGGAGTGCTTGTATACCCCCGTTGACGCCAGCATGCTTTGGAATACTGGAGGTTCTAATTCTGGTTGCTGCAGCCCCCTCCCCTTCAGCCCTGGCCCCATGAAGGAACCCTAGTATGTGAATCTAGAGCATGTCAACCTTCTCAGAGTCCGACTGGTCCAGGAAATGTCTTTCCAGAGCCTGCTGCGTGCTTGCACCAGGGTGCTGGAGGAGGTGCCCACCGATGTCCTCCCTCTCATCTGGCTTTGTTATCTGAGGCGTGAGGAGTCACAGACCTCAGCACACATCCCGCTTACTCCCCCTTTAAAGCAGTACACCTGAGAGGCAGAGAGACGGGTGGGGGTGGGGAGAGGCAGAGAGACGGGGTGGGGGTGGGGTCAGGTGCTCAAGGAGTAATTATGTAGCAAGTTAGAGGCCAACCTGGGCTGCATTGGACTCTTTGTCAAGCAAACGAATCAAAATGAAACCAGCCTCACTGGTGCATTCAGGAGACTGAAGCAGGAGGATTGTTGGAGCCCAACCAGAGGGCCCTCTCTTACAAAAGAAAAAAAAAAAAAAAGAAACGAATAAAAAAAAAAAAGCAATAGGCAAAAGCTAGAGTCCCTGCAGGAGATGGAGCGGACAGGAGGTGGGTGGAACTTGCCTGGAGTTCGTACTTGCTGGCTCTTGTGTTCAGCTCACTAGCCTGTCACACTTTGATCTGAGCCTGGAGTATTTGGAGTACCTGCCTGGCTGCTCCTGGCTCCCATACGTGGCCTGTGCCTTCTGTTCTCTGTAACTACCCGGGAGTCTTTCTGAGATGTCATCTGCCACAGCTTGCCCTTAACCACACAGGTAGCTTTTCCCTACTCTGAAGATACCCCCTATAATAGTCATCCTGCACCTACAGAACCCACTTCTGCGCAATTCCGGAATCTGCCACTGGAGGTCGGGCTGCACACACAGGATGCTCAGTGACTCCTGTAAGAGTCCTCCCACTCCCGGGATGTGGAAAATCCATCTATAACTGTCCACTGGCTGTCTCGGGGATTGGTGACCTCGAGGAATTGCGCTTCATATGTGTTCCAGAGCACCCCTCCTCCCACGCCAGGAATATTTCTTTAATAATCTTTAGAATGTGTAAGGGTTTTAACCCTAAGACCCTCTCCCAACCCTAGCCCCTAAGCTAAAACCCAGGGCTGATGACAGGAGTTTTGGCCATGGAAAGCATCCATCTGTGTTAATCTTTGTTCTAGTTGCTGGGCTGCCTTGGAGCAATTCTCTACATCTCTGAATTTGTCATTACCAGCTCATGGAGAGGAGCGACGATCGCTACCATGCAAAACTCTGGCAGCATCTGAAAAGAAAGAACAGGAAAATGCATGGTGGTGCAGGCCTATGACCCCAGGACTCGGGAGGCTGAGGCAGGACAATCATAAATTTGAGGCCAACCTGGGCTACATAGCTAGAGCCTGTCTATAAGTAAATAGGAAGTAAATGGTATGTTCGCAGTCTCTCTGGAGATGGGACTACAGTGAAAATGCATGGATGCTGAGATTCCAGAAAGCAACTATTAGGCACCTGCTGCATGCAGATGGCTTTCAGCTCTGAGAAGGTGCTTAGAGTCTCTCGTTCAGCAAATGTCTGGGTGGCTGCCATGTGCCCAGTGCTCGCCTGTGTGGTGGGATCATAGAGTTTCCTAGAAGGAATATGTGAGTCAGAGAATCATGACTAAGGGGAATCCCTTGGGAGAGGGATTGGGCTCCACAGTCACCAGCAGTTGTGCTAGGAAGGCTGTGGGCACAGAAGTATAGGAATCAGGGATGTGAAACAGCTTGGAGCAACTGCAGGCACAGGGAACAGCCACCAGGGGTCACTGTGGCTCTGGTCACTGGAGCGCCTGGATCAGAGGTCAGCATCCTTAGCCACTCTGGGTTTCTGTGGCAGCTTTGAGGCAAACCTGCATTCATTTCATGAGGCTTTGGACATATTAAAAACAAAAACAAAACACAGGCTGCACAAATATCCTATTAAATATGTTTACATTTAAAAAGCTATCCTCAGCTCCTACACACAAGTGCTGTTTGATGTTGCCAGGTCATGGGTCTTGTGGACAATGTCTATGGAAATAGTGACAGTTCTTTTAGCTCAGGAAGCCAGGCACTGGGACGGGACATTCATACTCATCTCCAAAGTAGACAGGGGGTTCAGGCCACATAGCTGTCCTTGGGGTAGGTAGACAGGGGGTTCAGGCCACATAGCTGTCCTTGGGGTAAGTGGGAACTATGAAATGGCAGATTTGCCGGCCTGGAGAAATAGCTCAGCAGTTAAAAGAACTTGCTGCTCTAGCAGAGAACCCAGGGGGATCTGTCACCCTCTACTGGCCTCTGTGGGCATTGCACTCATATGTGCACACAGTCACAGAGAGACACATATGCACACACATAATTTAACAATAATAAGCCGGGCGTTGGTGGCGCACGCCTTTAATCCCAGCACTCGGGAGGCAGAGGCAGGCGGATCTCTGTGAGTTCAAGACCAGCCTGGTCTACAGAGCGAGTTCCGGGACAGCCTCCAAAGCCACAGAGAAACCCTGTCTCAAAAAACCAAAAAAAAAAAAAAAAAAAAAAAAAAACAATAATTAAAATACAGGTCCTGGCCACTCCCTACTGGTGAGACCAAAGCTAGGCTGTTTCTGCGTCCCTGGGATGCTGATGTTACTTGAGTACTTGTTGCCTACTACATAAATGTTCCACATTTATCACATATGTTCAGTATTTTGCGTCAAGACTTGGGGAAGTGATAGTGTTATCATTCCTCTCATGTTTTCCAGTGAGGAAACTGAGGCACGGAGATATGGGGTCATAGTTCACCATCTCCTGGTTGGTAAGGGAACGGATTTGCATCTCAGCAGCCTGGTCCAGCTCTTGGGTTCTCCCAGATTGTCCCTCTGTGTGCAGTACCAAGGCACACAGTACCACGTGCTGCTGCATGGTTCTCAGGACCCCAGAAAGAATGCCCCCCCCAGGTCAGGAAGCATGACAGGTGCTGAGGCAGGAGACCCCAAGAAGCCTGGGGCTGGAGAGATGGCTCACAGGTTAAGAGCACCGGCTACTCTTCCAGAGGTCCTGAGTTCAATTCCCAGCAACCACACGGTGGCTCACAACCATCTATGATGAGATCTGGTGCCCTCTTCTGGTGTGTAGCATACATGCAAGCAGAATGCTATATACATAAAAAAGAAGAAGCCTGGGGAGGAGGGGAGATCACAGGGTCAGGTGCCAAAATACATCCCAGTTATGTCTAGCACAGTGGTTCTTACCCTTCCTAACGCTGCTATCTTTTAATACAGTTCCTCATGCTGTGGTGACCCCAACCATAACATTATTTTCATTGTTACTTCATAACAGTAATTTGTTGTTGTTGATTTTTCAAGACAGGGTTTCTCTGTGAAACCCAGGCTGTCCTGGAACTCACTCTGTAGATCAGACAGGTCTCTCAAACTCAGAGATCCACCTGCCTCTGCCTCCCAATTGCTGGGGTTAAAGGCGTGCGCCACCACCACCCGGCCATAACTGTAATTTTCTGTTTTTTTTTTTTTTTTTTTTTGGTTTTTCGAGACAGGGTTTCTCTGTGGCTTTGGAGGCTGTCCCAGAACTCACTCTGTAGACCAGGCTGGCCTCGAACTCACAGAGATCCGCCTGCCTCTGCCTCCCGAGTGAATTTTTCTAACTGTTATGAATCGTAATGTAAATGATTTCAGAGATAGAGGTTTGCCGAAGGGGTTGTGACCCATGGGCTGAGAACTGCTGTTCTAGAAGGAATGCCATTTACCAGGCCAGGCTGCTCAGGTAAGAGCCCAGGCCTGTCTAGTCTGGGCTTGTCCCAGACAGGAGGCAAACAGTGGGCAGGGAGAGTCTAAAAATAGTGCCTGTCACAGGACGGAGCGAGACAGCAAGAGAGTGGGCAGGATTCCTTAGAATTCTGGGGGGTTTGTATATAGCTCCGGGGCAGCTGTCCCGCTTTGAAGTCTGGGGAGCTGGGCTGGAGCGGTGAGGTGCTGGAGTCAGGTTTGAGGGGGTCACAGCTTGCATGAAGAGGCTTAGAGGGGCATGGAGGAGGCAGGGAAGGCTCTGAAATGTGGCCACTATGCCCATTTCTCTCATGCGCCTGTCATCTGCCCCCCCCCTTAGGATATGGGATTCCATACCCAAGCTACCCCTCCCCCACCCTCCCCTGCAACCACATCTCCACAGATGGATAGACAAGGCCTGGTCTGGGGCAAGGACTTGCAAGCTGGTAGACACAGCACAGTGGCCTCTCTGGCTTCCCTCTGTGTCTGTGGCTACCATCTGCCCTCTGCTGGGCCACAGGAATGTCTTCTGTTTGAGGAACCAGGGACCCAGTGATGTCACACAGGGCCTCTCTGACCCGGCTTTGTACAGTCCTTGGGCCTTAGACTGTGGGCAGCAGCTGTTTGGGGGCAGGACGTGGTTTCCCCATGACATCAGCTTTGACAAGCAAGTAGGCAGGGGTGGGCGGCCAGCCCTGTGGCTGAAGCTGGATGGTGTTGTCTCCCTGGGCAAGGCTCTGGGACCACACCATGCCCACGTCCAACACACAGGAAAGCCACTTCCTGCCCCACCCACGCCAGGGTCCAGATGAGGGTGGGCGAGAGAGACATTGCATGGACATTACGCCGAGGACAGTTGGAGATGGTTTTCAGATGTGTCACACAGAGTGTGGAGCAAACCCCGTGACCTGGGGCCGGCCCAGGCAAGCTGCCCTGTGATACCACGTATCACCAGCAGACGCCGCTATTGGTCACACAGCGGGTTCCGGGCATCCTGTCTTGCTCAGTGGCAGAACTCGAACCTGGGACTGAAGTAGAGACTCTGGGGCCAACGGCTTACACACTTCGGGTGATTTGCAGCAGGCAGGTGGGAAAGACAGCCTGGCCCGGAAGCTGGGCAAAGAGAGTAGCCACATGGGTAATGGTACCTCCTCTCCTACCAGGCTGTGGCTCCTACTCTTCAGGGAGGCGGCGGGTGGGTCTCTCTGAGTTCAGGCCTGGGCTCCAATTCCTCACAGAATTAATTTCCTGGAAGAGAAAAAAAAATACAGATCAATGCCTGTCCCTAGGTGCCAGACATTAAGCTCCTTCTCAGGACCAGTGGTGGCGGGCTGTTGTGACAGGGGCGAGAACGGAGACACCCTGGGGAGACCGGTGGAAGCTCAGCCTACGCCTCACTTCCTGACACCCATGTGGCTGAGCACACTGTCATTGAGTCAGGACATGCAGACACCCGGCCCCGCAGCTATACACACCCCCACCCACACACACACATACTTCATTTGCGAGCCCCTCTAAGCGGGGAGGCTCGGAGCCTGTGGCAGAGCAGAGCCCCAAATGAGCTATTTATGGGCCATTTTTCCACGTTGCTCGCATATTATAATTAAGAGATAATGTCAGCGGAATAGAACATTGTCACCCAGTAACGGCCTCCTGCCGCCTCGGAAATGTCACGGCAAAGTCACAGATATATCAAGCGTAAAACTGACGTTTGTTTTCCGAGCAGGATCACTGATCCTGGGACGAGCTACAGCTGCAGCTTCATTTCTGTCTGGGAGGTGATGGATGCCCATGGACGGCTGGGTCTGAAGGAGGAGGGGTCTCATCTGCGGTGGGGACCAGCTGGGGCTGTGTGTCACATGGCAAGTATAGATGATATGACTGTCCCCCTGTGTCCCGCTCTCTGCTGTAGCCACGAAGGTGGTCTGGGTGCCCTGGCTCTCCATTGGGCAGTGTGTTTTCTGCAGCCCGAGAGGCTGCCAACTGGCAGGGTCCCCCTTCCTGCCACCGCGTTGTCTCTGGGGAACTGAGCGGCTGCTGGGTGGCTTGTCCTTGGACAACCTCAGGCTCCAAGTCACTGCTCTGAGCCACACGGCCTTGGAAGGACAGTGGTGACTTTGTGACTCGGGTGTCTACACTTTGGAGCAGCTGAGGGTCCACAGGCTTCCAGAGTGGTGTCCTGGTGAGACCACTCACCTGGCGGCTGACATTGCGTCACCCAGCGACATTGTCAGGTGCTCGGTACACGCCACTGACATAGCCTGGTCCCAACACAGCTTGTCCCCAGCCCTGAACATCAACCCACTAGCTCGGTCCCCACAGCCCCTGACAGTCTGGTCTTTAACCCATCTCGCTATCTTGGGACACCATTTCTCCACACCCCCTCTCCAGGATGACCTCCCCACTTCTGCTATGACCACTCATGCTGAGTACCCATGCTGAGTGTCTCCTATGACTCAAGCTTGGACTCTCCTACGCCCAAAGTTGTTAAGCGCTTGCCACAGCCCCCGCCCCCCACCCCCTGCTGGCAGACCTCCTCCAGAACACGAATGGCTGCTTTCTGACTGCGTGTGGGAAGAGCTGAATGAGGGAAAGGCCGACAAGGACAATGCGGAGGTCAGTCGCTGATTGGCAGACGGTGCTGCATAACAAGTCACCTCAAATCCCAGTGATGGAGACATACTCGGCTCTTGCCTTTGCAGGCCAGTGAGAGAGGCTGGTCCTGTCCCAGGTGGGGTTACTCACACATCCTCAGGGTGGCCGTGGCAGATTGCATCTTATTAAGGGGGCTGAGCATTTGCGTGAGCTCCATGGTCAGCCTGAGACACGCATGGCTTCGGACAGTGGGCCGGCCCCAAAATGTGAGGACATTCCGTCCCCCCCCACCAGAGCCTGGCTGTGCTGTCCATTGGGGGAACAGATGGACAGTCTGGAGATAGAGGACCAGAGCAGGCATAAACTGTGACCATTAAGAGGTTTCTGCCACTGAGTCTCCCATCTGGCACTTGCCAAGCAGTGGCTTGTCCTGGGTCCTGCCGTGGGTGCTGGGGCAGCAGCATATGGAGCAGACATATTCCCACTAGGTGACATATGAGTGAGGCGTGTACATACCCAGGGGCTACATTCTTGCCCAGTGCAGGCATTAACCGAATTAGCATGAGGGTGGTCACAGAGGTGCCCTGCTGTGGACCCAACTCTTCATTCACAAAATGGTGAGGTTCCTATCCCTCATTTTAAGGGCATAGTCTGCTCACAGAAGCAATGAGTGCTATGTTTGTCCAGTCCTTAAGAGACCGTGTATAGCTGGGCATTGGTGGCGCACGCCTTTAATCCCAGCACTCGGGAGGCAGAGGCAGGCGGATCTCTGTGAGTTCGAGGCCAGCATGCTCTACAAAGTGAGTTCCAGGACAGCCTCCAAAGCTACAAAGAAACCCTGTCTCAAAAAACAAACAGACCGTGTATAATCTCCACCTATGTCACAGTGTGCAACATGACACACCTTGACCCCATGCATAGAACCTTTCAGGGTGAGAAGCAGGTGACACAGAATGATCACTGAAGCCCAGCCCTGGGCAGAGGGGGATATGATGATGAAAGATGGTTGTTGGGGCCACTGAGTGTGGGGCTCTTTTGTTATGCAGCACTTTGAGGCTGGAGCTAACTGATACAACCTATGATTGGTAAATGCTATCAATAGCCCCATTTTACACTGAAGAAAACTATGGCCCAAATCTCATAAGAAATGTGACCAAATGCCAATATAGCACCCAGCCACGTTGCCTGGGCTTTGGTCCAGGTGAGGTCACATGCCTACCCCATGGCTGTACACAGAATGGCGCCACCCCACACCCATACACTGAGAGTAGCAGAGAAAGGCTTTTCCAAACAAGGCTGGCTAGCCGTGTTTTAGGGGTATAGTCTGAAGGTAGGAGCAGTGCTGTATTTACGTGACCAGCCTGTAAGAGTCCACATGTAGTTTCTACTGGCGTCACAGTGTGCAGCACGCACACCCTGGCCTCAGCTCTGATCTGAGGGATGAGAAGTCGGTGGAGAGGGAGGCAGATGTTAGCGGCAGCAGACCTCAGCCCGAGGCACAGAACCTCTGTAATCCTCTGCAAAGTCCCCCCTGGCCACGCAGCTCCCGGCCTCCCACGTTCTATACAGCTTGGGGAAGAAGATCATATGTGATTTATTTCTGGCGCCGGCGCCGTGAGGTACTCTGCTGGAACAATGAGTTACGAGGCCATTTATCTTGCTGGCAGCTTCTGATAAAACGGGCAGTCTGGACAGCCGGGGCCGTTAACGCACGCGGCAGCTGAGCTGATCGTTTAGAGAGCTGGAAACCTTGAAACTGACTTTGATTGAAGGGGTTTGCAAGCCAGAGCTTGAGGGCCTGGGCTGAGGTGAGACCCCCACCTCTGGGGAGAGTGTGGGGAGGCATCTCGTGGCTTTAGCTGTCCCCAAAGGCTTTCTGGGTATGACTTTGTACAATATAGGTAGCTAGTCCCCAGCCTTACTTCCTACCCCTCCAGAGAGATGTGTATTTGTCAGCACCAGTGGGGGCCAGTTGTGGTAACAAAGAGTTCCACAGTCTTCATGACTGAGAACCAGCAAGGTCACTGTGGTCAGCTGGGGTTGTCCCTGTCTCTGCAACCCAGACTGAAGGGCATTCCTCTATGGACTGCCGGCCGACCCTAGACAGGGGCTGAGCCTTTTGCAGCCTACTCTCATACTGTGTGTGTGTATGCATGTGTGTACATGTGTATACGCTATATGTATATGTGTATTCACCTGTGTGTGTATGTATGTGTAGATGTGTATGTGCACATGTGTGTACGCATGTGTGTGTGAATGTGTATACATGTATATGTATATGAGTGTGGGTATATGTATATGTGTATGTGTGCATTCACCTGTGTGTGTATGTATGTGTAGATGTGTATGTACACATGTATGTGTGTGTGTATATATATATGAGTGTGGGTATATGTATATGTGTATTCACCTGTGTGTGTGTGTGTGTGTGTGTGTGTAGACCACAGGACAACATTGTCTTCCTCAGTTTTGAGGCAGGGTCTCTCATGAGCCTGGAGCTTGCTGATTCAGCTAGACTGACAGTCAGCAAACTCCAAGGGCCCACCTCTCTCTGCCCCCAGCACTGGGGCCATAGGCACACTGGCTGTTTACATGGGTGCTGGGGATCTGAACCTAGGTCCTCAAGGTTGTATGCCTGTACTTCTTTACTGACAGAAAGGTCTCCCCAGCCCTCTACACATTTTTGCTGAGCACCTACTGTGTGCTCAGCAGCTCGACACAAGTCTGATGGGGCAAATGGTGGCATTGTTCGTGTGTGTGTGTGTGTGTGTGTGTGTGTGTGTGTGCGCGCGCGCGCGCGTGCCCGTGCCCGTGTGCGCATGCGTGCGTGCGTGCTCACACCACAAGGCAAGCTCTCTGCCACCAAGTTAGCTGCATTCCCAGCCTGGTGCTTGGATCCTTGTGGGGTTCCCCTCCCCCTGACTCATATTCATAGGTCTATGCTGGTCAGTCACATGGCCATGCCTGACTTCTGCTTGTGTGGGTGTGGGAAGTCCTACCAGGTGGCTATCAAACCAGCAGTTACTCAGAAAGAATGCAGCCTTGCCAGGCTACTCCCAGGGCTAATCTACTCCTCTGGGCTTTGCCACACCCCGCTGTCTGCTGGGAGCCTCAGGCTTGCTCCTCACAAGCGAGCCAAGCCAGGCACGGAGAACCTAGAACCTGATGCCTCTTGCCCAACGGTATCCCCTGCATTCTCCACAGTGCCTGGCATACAGCAAATGCTTGTGACACTTGTGCGTTGTGACTGTGAAATGACTCACCCAGCTCCATGTGCCCTGGAGACCTTCAGCAGTGTGATGTTGAGCCAGACCGGACGCCTGCTAAAGTGCTGTCTCGCTGCCTGCCTGGCTCCATGCCAGACCATTTCCACTGCAAGCTACTCTTAAGGAAGATGCGTGCTGAGGGTCCTCTGCCCACACTGGAATCTCCTCTCCTATGCTCAAAAATGGCTCAACCCATGTCTTGAGTTTTGTTTTTGCCCGTCCGAGATGTTTAAGCTTCTAAAATCCTTGTATCTGCATCTTGTGTATTTGTCAGCTGCAGGTTCAGCTGCTGTAACAAAGAACCCCTGCATGATGGTTACAGCAAACCAAAGTTTGTTTCCCTGTGACGTGGGATTCCCACGGGGCAGCTAGGCCAGGGACAGTGGGAGATCTGCCCCACTGTTGTCTGGGGACCTGGGTCTCTCTGTGTGGCTCTCCCATCATCTCTGGGATGGAGTTATTTTCCCCATAGAAGGGGTGCAGCCTGGGGTGGGGGAGGTGAGGGCCCAGTTGCACTCAGCAAGGGGTGGAGACAGGTCTGGCTGTGTCTGGGTGCCACCAAGCCCCTACCCCACCCCCCACCCGCCGTGGCCAACACAGCTGGGCTCCTGAGAAACTGGAACTGATTCTGATTGGATCCAGGCAGTGAGAAAGATTGTCATGCCATGGGGACAGAGGGACTGGGTGGGCAGCAGGCCTGAGACTCGATTGTCATGCCAGGGCCATGACCTAGAATCTGTCCCCAAGGCTGCTAGACAGGCCACTATGGTTCTATGGTTCTGATCCCAGCCATCTCAGGGTCCCCAGAGGATCCTGTGACCAGCAGGGGGCCTGGGACATTTGGTATTGACCCCTAGAGAGCAGGAATGCCCAGACCAAGGCTGAAGTAGAATTACCCTCCACTCTAGGCAACAGGGGTCTGAGATTGGTGCTAAATCAGTGGGAAAGAAACCCAAACCAGGTTGGGTTTGTGGCCTGGGTATATGCTGAAGGAAGGCCTTGAGCGCCAGCTTGGTCTACAGAGCGAGTTCCAGGACAGCCAGAGCTGTTACACAGAGAAACCCTGTCTCAAAAACAAAACAAGAAAGAAAGAAGGAAAAGAAATGCAAAAAAAAAGGAGGGGAGGGGAAGCGTGTAGGGACCCTGGGACTCCCCTCCTTGAGACCCCCCCAACCTCAGCTGTCCGTCACTGTGTTTCTCTGATGCCTTGCAATCTCTGACTTTGGGGTGAGGGGAGGGAGGGGTGTCTACGATCAGCTGATCAGCCTGCCTGCTGACTCTGCCACTGACACCCATTCTGCAGATGAGGAAACTGAGTCTTGGGGATATTAGGTAAACCACTCAAGTTTCTCAGGGAGTGGAGTGTAGTCCCCAGTCTGGGCCCTCCTGTCCCTTCTCCCTGCAAGGCTAGCACACAGAGCCCTCAGCTGTCACCCATCAGGAGCCAAGGTCAAGTCTTCCCATCTCATAGACTGTAGTCAGGCTCTGGCTGATGCAGGCTCCTTGGACTGCTGAGTCACCACACTAGGTGGCATGGTGTGAAGGTACTGCCCCTGCCCTTGGGACATTTGTCTCTTCTCCCTGCTATGGCCAATGGCCCCTAGCAGGTAGGGATGAGCTTCCCAGCGGCCGACCAGGAGGATCCTGATACCCAGGGTGTGACCTGTAACCCAAGCACAGGATCCCTGCTCCCCTTTGTAGGACAGGGAAATCAGCTGTGTTCAGAAAAAGGAGGCCAGGCCAGGATCTATCTCTAAAAGAGGGAGGCCGGCAGCGCTTGCTCCACGCCAACCATAGCTGGCCCTGGCTCTCTTCTCTCTGGACTCTTTCAGACTGGGACATAAAGCACAGAGAGGTCCAGCAACTGGCCCAAGGTCACACAGCTTAAATGACAAGGAGCCAGGCCCCAGCTGCTCCTCTAGACTGAATTCTCAAGTTGGGGCCAGGCTCTGCTTCCCAGGGGTGTGGCTGGCCATGGACCACACCAACAACAGGCCCCTTAAGGTGCTTTTGAGTTTTTCTCGTGTGCCCTTGGATCAGCCAACTGGAGCTGGTGGCTCTCATCCACGCCCAGTCTAGGCTAATGAATGTCACAGCCCTGTAGCTCTTGGTGGCTCTGAAAAACAGGAGATTGTGGTTCGCCTGCTGGGAAGGGACAGGGAGCTCAGTCACCCACTTACAATAGAGACTGTATTGGAGCAGGTGAGGGCAATGCTTTGTGGATGGAAATCTCTGTCCTGCCTGATCCCGCAGCTGTTCTGTCCCAAATAAACACACAGAGGCTTATGTTAATTATAAATGGCTCAGGCTTCTTATTGGCTAGTTCTCTTAATTATTAACCCATTTCTATTAAACTATGTATTGCCACAAAGCTGTGGCTTAACCGTGTTGTTCCGGCATATTACTCCCTTGGCGGCTACATGGAGTGAGTCTCTCCCTGGCGACCGCTTCCCTGCCTTCTCTCTTCCCAGAATTCTCCCAGCCTGGTAGCCCCGCCCACACTTCCCGCCTGGCACACAGAAAGACATCCTCCATCGGGGCCACGGGTCGTGGTGTGTCCCTGATGCAGCCACTGGGAGCTGGCAGGGCTGATCTGCCTGTGTCCTACTGTGACCCACTCTCCCTGTGGGCCAGGAGTCCCTTTCCCAAGGGGTCACTCTCAAACAGCCTGGAGCCTCTCAGTCCATAGAGCTGTGCCCTCCGCTGAAGGCTGGGGTCTTGAAATGACTCTGTCATCCACCCACCCACTCACCCATCTGCCCACCACCCACCAATTTATATACCTACCAACCCACCCACCTAGCCATCCACTCATCCATTTATCCATCTCCCCATCTATTCTATCCACCCACCTACCCATCCGTCCGTCCATCTGTCCGTCCGTCCGTCCATCCATTTACCTTTCCTTTCCTCTTTGCTTCTTCCCACCTTCCTGAGACTAAAACCAAGCCAGAGCTAGGCGCAGCCACACACATCTGCAGTCCCAGGAGGCTGAGGCAGGAGGACCACACATCAAGACTCCGCGTCAGAGACACCCAAACCCAAAGCAAAACAACAAAGCAGAGGTGAGAGTGAGTGCTGCTGCCTGCCCGGATCCAAGTGAGTCCCAAACTGGAGGACTCCAGGCCCTGACGGGCACCACGTCAAAGGAGCAGACCTTCCCTCTCCTCCATCCCCCAAGACAGTTCCCACGCTGCACGGGGACTCCGCTCTGCATGCTGGGACTGGGAGAGGCCATCCCAGGCTTCCTTCTCTCCGTGTGGGGACATTTGTCTTACTGTGGCCATAGACCTCTTCTCTGGATGAGAGAGAAGGTCACTGGGGTCCTGTCTCTGCCTCCTCCTTTGCAGAAAGTGTGGCAGGCTCCAGCAAGGTGGCTGCTTGAAGTTTTGTGGGTCAGGAGGTGTCTGTCGTCTGTGCTGGGTTTTCTACGGCTTTAGGCTTTGGAACAGGTTCTCGCTGTAGCCCAGGCTGGCCGTGAACTGTCAGTCCTCTGACTCAGCACTTCACCAGGCTGTCTGTGTGTTTTGTTTTTATGATCCCTCGGTAAGGTAAACAGTCTTAGTTTGCATTCTGGAGGCTCTGCATCTCCTTAACAGGCCCCAGGAAGATCTGCTCCTGCCTGGGATGCCCAACTTTGATGGTGACTGTAAGATGGAGTTCAGGGTTTGCCTCCCCATTTCATCCTTGTTCCCTCCCTCCCCCCCCCCCCCCGTCTCTCTTTTTGTTGGTTTTTCAAGATGGGGTTCTTTGTGTAGCCCTGGCTGTCCTGGAACTCACTACATAAACCAGACTGGCCTCAAACTCACAGAGATCCTCCTGCTTCTGCCTCCTGAGTGCTGGGGTTGAAGCTGTGTCCCTCCACTGCCCGGCTTCTCTCTCTCTTTTTTATTTTATCTGCACTGGTGTTTTGCCCGTATGTGTGTCTGTGTAAGGGTGTTGGATCTTGGAGATCCTGGTGGGAGGAGCGGCTTGAACAGCACTTTGCAGTGAGCCTGGCGCATGTGGGCCGTGACGGGGTGCAGTGCCATCTGGCCACTACAGAGTGCTGCACGTTGGGGCGCCCAGAGGACAAGGGAGGTGTGAAGGCAGCCGGTGACCAGCCTCTGCTTGTCCCAGGTGGGGCCTGCGCCCCGGTGCTTACGGAATCCTTGTTGACTGAAGTGACGGTCATCACTGGAGATGGGGACTGCGTCGGGAGGGGTCTCCCCTCTGTCTCCTCCCCCTGTGAAGCCCTCCCTACAGCCTGCAGCTGTGGAAATGCCGAGTCTGTGTTTTCCTGAGCAGGACCCCGGTGGCTTACTACAGACACAGACGAGCTGTTTCCTGCCCCGAGATGACTCAGATGGGTTCACTGGGAGTGGGATGGGGGTTGGGGGGCTGCAGCTGCCATCCTGGATTAATCTGGAAATGCTGGCTCAGGATGTGGTGCTGGGCACTTTGCCAGGGTCACTGTCTCTCCACTGTCTCCGGGCTTAGGCTAGGCCTTGAGGGGCCACTATCTGAAGAAGTCACACCCCCAGAGAGGGCTGTGCTGGCCTTTTGCGGACTCTACGGAGGCTTTTCTGTCCCCCTGTTTCAGTAATGGCAAGAGAGGGTGGGTGGGGTTTCTTCAGTTTTTCAATCAGTAAATTTTTCAATCAACAAACGTTCGCACTGTTCCTAGTGCCGGTGCCACGCTATGCGCTTGTGGTTACAAAGTAAAATAAAAGGCATTGTCTTCCACTCAAAGAATTCCAGCCTCACCAGAGACGTGTTTGCAATTCAACAGAGCAAAACCCTCAAGCCAGCTTAGGCCAAAAGGAATCGAGTGATCATCTTGTGACGGAAAAATTAGGCCTGTGCTTTCAGGTACGGCTTGATCCAGGCACCCAAACACTTCTTAGGGGCTGAGGCGATGGCCCGATCAGTAAAGCTCTAGTTATGCAACCACAAAGCCTTGAGTCTACTTAGCAACAAGCATGGCTGTACTCGCCTGTAATCCCGGCACCAGAGGCAGAGACAGAAGGAGCTGCAGGGCTCACGGTTGAGACCGTCAGTGAGAGACCCTGCCTCAAAAAATAAGGGGAAGTAGCATGTGGTAGCGCACATCTTTAATGCCAGCACTCAGGAGGGCGAGGCAAGAGAATCTCTGTGAGTTCGAGGCCAGCGTGGTCCACATTGCCAGTACCAGGCCAGCGCCTGCATGGAAACATACACACACTCTCACTCTCTCTCTCTTCAAGGATTTGATTGCCCTGTACCTCAGAACTCCATG